GGATCTCTATCCGATTTGTTTTCTTTCCTTTTTGTCATTGCATGTGTGAAAAGCCGTGGCAGAGGATTATCAGAGCAGAGTGCCGCTGAGCAGAGCGGCGATGCAAAACCAATGCTTGTACCACCCCCCCATGTTGCCTCTCAGCCCACATGCAGGAGCTTCGGCCTTTGATCAATTCCAGCTAGTAAATCTTCCTCTTATATTTACAGCTCAGTGTTTCCCCTTTATACAGGGTGATGGGGGCACTGCCCCCCCCCGCCCAAGCGTCATTCCTGCCTCCTCAAGAAAGTCTACGATTGTCCACTCCTCGCTGCGGACGGCAGTTCAGGCAGACGCGTCCGCGCGCACACACAGGTGAGCACAAAGAGGCGTGACGGCCCCCGTCGGCCGGTCCGTCCGCCCCCCCCCATTAACTCGCTGCTACTCATCTGATCATTTGAGCTCTCCGCATTACAGAGGGCAAAGAAAACAATGGGATCATCCGTTGTGTCTGCTTCAGACTAAGCATTATTTCTTTACGTACCATGGTCACCGTATTAGACTGGGCAATTATATAGTGGAAAATTCTTGCCTCACATGGCGCAAAGACGCATGAGAAAACCTGACCAATCAAACGCTTGAACGTGCGCGCGGGACAATGACATCTGAAACACAGTGTGGGCACCGATTCACCAATAACCTCACTTCCACACCGCTGTTTTTTTAATATTCATTTTTATGCAGAAATTATTAATTTTTATAACATGGTAGCTTTTCTTATGTTTGCTTGTGAGTGGTTCTTCTTTGTTATTAACACTTTGGGTCAAATTGAAAAAAGGAAAACATTCAATTTGGCCATATTTTGGACTCAAAGTGCTCCTCTTTTCTTGTAAAGCGTCCGGTGTTGTTTGTAACAATGGTTAAAACCGCCGGGTCCAACCATTCTAAGGTCGCAACTTGATGGCTGTCAGTTGTCCATCCTTCAAAGACAACTTTTGCGTCAAATAAATGTTTTTAGCCAGCAGTGACACAAATGTAGCTCGCTTGCCAACTTCTGGTAATTTACCTTGTGACTGCCATTGGTAAACAGTGCTGACTTGACGGAACACGTCAAAAAATCAGAGACACTGTTTGACGTGCACTAACACCACGTGGTCAATCGATCAACAAGGCTGACAATGGGTGATAAGCATTGGGAGAAGTGCTGCAGAAGGGTAGAAGGAAGTTTTTTTCATGGGATCTGTTGGCAATAAGAGAATGTTAACGGCAGTTTTAACCTTTTGGTGAGCCAGTTAATTACCACTTTGTTAGTGTAAACTATCCCAATACTTTCCACACTCCATTTCATTTAAAACGTAACCAGTAATTACCAAAAAGAGCTGGTTTTAAGCAAACGCAGCAACATGTCGCCCTGTGCAACACTGTGACTCTCAAAATTCCCACACTGCACTCGGGATTTCAATCCATCAGGAAAAATTAAAAAATAGAAACTGTCACCAGCCTTATTCTTTCACAATTGAATGAATTTCATTGTCCGGCTGAGGCAGGAAAATGCAACAGCTTGATTCTATCTACTAAAGCCAAGTGCCGAAGCAGACAAAGACACTAAAAACAAGAATGCTTGCTGACATGCGTCAAGACTGATCCCCAACCCCTATTTTAAAAGAGTCTCTAACAAAGCCCCTTTATCTGACAATGAGGCGTAAACCTGATTACAACCTGGTGACTTTTAGGTTGATTTTCTTCTTCCACTGGTCATGTGAACATCCTGCAATTGTGCTTACATTGTCACCTTGGTGACGTGGCCTTCTCGAAAAATCATCACAGGAGACGTTGAAACAAATTCAGCAAAAGGGAACTTTTGCGACTCCTGCAAACCTTCTGGATCAAATGTTGGACACTCAGTTTACATCGAGCGCCGAGGAGGATACGGCGGCTCGTTGTGTCACCCGTCCAGTCTGTCTGGGCTTGTCAATATCTGAGCAATTTAATAAAACCGTGCAAGGATGTGATGGATTTGATCCTTCCGGTAATCCAATGCAACCACAGATTTGGTGGGATATTGTGACACAATCTTGCTTACTAATCAGCTTTGAATCGAATCCAGTTTCCCTGGATCTGACTGCCGCCCCGCTCTCTTTCCTGCCGCCGTTCTCTCCCACGCGGCCAGGTATTACAGACGCTGACTTCTAACTAGATGTGAGAATTTTGCTAAACGTTTGATCACTGAGTGCAAGTTATCTGAACTCTGATCTCAAGCCAACTTCCTTTCGCTTTGGGGACGGAGAGGGCCCAGGCCCTGCTGCGCCTAATCAGTTCAATCGACTGCTGTCATTGATGACGGCGGATAAATGATGATCAGCACAGGATATTTTAGGGATCCTGAGTCCGGTCCAGCCATTTATTTCCCCGCGACCCCGTCAAAGTGGTCTGCATGTTACGAAGCCGGTGGAATCTTAAACTGACCTTTAATTGCATTTTTTTAAACATCATAGCAAAATGCAAAAAGAAGTCAGATGCAAAAGGAAGTCTGAGAAAATCTTCTCACTTAATTTATTCTCGAAGGAAACATTTCTGAACATGAGATTATGGTCTCAATCTCTAGTTTCAGGTCTACATCACAAAGCTCATTTAGGAAATGATGGTCTCTTTGGAGTCAAATAGTTCATAAGCAGAGCATGCTTCAGGGCGGGGCCACCTTGTGATTGACATTTTGCTACCAGAGACAAGTCATAGATGTTTATTTTGGTTGTTCTAAATATGTGCATTTATCACAGAATAAACAGGAAGGAGAACCGGCCCACTCGTTGTTCCGCTTTGTTAAAGAACAGCAATCTACCATCTCGCAGTTTGCTCTTGTTCTTTTCTGAACAAATAAGTCTGTGGCTGCGGCCCAATCCTTTTAATCTCCCTTTATTCCCCAGAGCCTTTTGGACACCTCTGGTATACGTCTAAATTACTGCAAGAAATGGTGCCGTGCTACTGGTCGGACTAAGTGTTGCTAAAAGATGTCGAGTACGGGAAGAAGTGAAGGGGGTCACAAACACGTATGAAGTTCCATTAGAAGAAACCAAGTTGAAAAGTCAGCAAAGAGCCTTATCGCCGCTGGTGGCTCATTTAACACTTATTATCAGGCAACAGACTGGAAACTGGCACTCACTCAGATGTTATTTCAATCCCTGACTGACAAACGCGGACACACACTGTGAGAAAAAGTACTAGCTGCAGATCTGTTCCCATGGTAACACGGACCAATAGATCTCAGCGATTGACTAAGGATGAAGATCTCTAGACCCAGAACTAAAACAAATAAAAAACACCACCTACACACACACATCCTGTACGCGATGCTCACACACCGGCTAAGCGCCCTTACCCTCCAAAACATGTTTAGAAATGGACATGGAGAAAAAAACAATACAATAGAAATGTTTTCACTCTAACGGACCTCAAACCGCTGAATGCTTGAATAACAGAGAGGTCAAACCTCTAATCAGTTACCGATTAGAAAGATTACTTCTTCCGACTAGTTAGCCAGTCAATCACCTCCATAATTAGCAAATAATTGAAAACAGTAGAAAGTCAACCGAGCAGTTCAATAGGACGTGTGCAATGACGTCTCCCACAGGTCTGTCTACAACAGCAAATTATTTCTGGGTGTAAAAGAGCGATCCAAGTGCAAGCCAAGCGCTATATGAAACATCTAGATTGAATCAATATGTTTAAGAGGTGAGGAGAAGAAACCTTTGACCTGAACACTTGTCATTTGATTGCCCCAACAAATGTGATATAATATGCGAACATGACATGAAACATATTCACTAAAATAGGATGTTGACCATGTTGACCTCACACTGGAAACTTTGCCACAGTTCTCTGCACAATGTCCCAGAGTAAAAAAGTAAAACCTTCATTATTCCTGGAAAAAGACATTTGACCTTTTGGGGTTTTTCAAATGTCATCTTCAGTGCAGCCAGCGCCGACATTGAAATTCCATTCACATCCAGCCGTCAAGCCTGAGAAGCCAATAGCGCCAAAAATCTGCAAATATGGAATCTGAACTTTAAATAATTTATATTGGAGGAAAAAATAAAAAAAATGAATATAGACTGGCTGTTTTCTTCATAGCAAGTTGAAATCCAGACCGAGGGGACAATATCTCCAAACCTTTGCAAATAAGTAAATAAAGATAAATAGAGATAATCATGTTTGTACAGTGCTGAGCTCGTCCAAAGTTGAACCAGCTCTAAATGAAATGATAAACAGAGATGTCTCTGTGTTTTTCTGGTTGAGGTTTATGCTCAAGATCAAGCACATTCCAGTCCTTTTAATAAAACCTGGACCACATTATTTTTTAAAGGCTAAATCCTATTTTCGAGTTAAATATTTACATTGCGTTTCGTTGTCTATATCATATTAAAATGATTAAAATGTCAACGAAAGTACAAAAATGCCCCGTCCTCTGCAGAGCTGCATTACGCCTGAAATCTGTAACCGTCTCTTGCTGCTATTTTTATGTTTTCCTCGGGTGGCCGTGAAGACACGGATATCGTAAATTATTGATTTATGGCTGCATGAAACGTCCCATATGGATTCGAGTTTGAGGTTGACGACCTCGGGGCTCACTGCTCCATGAATTAATGAAAAGTTCCCTGTTTTAATGCAAAGACACGGCGAGGAGCGCGCTCCGGTCAGCGGTGCGCTCCTCGCCGTGTCATCGGTCGGCGGCCCGCAACACCGATTATTCAAATACCAAATACGCGCGTTGAGTGCAGTCAGACCATCAATCACCAAGCACATCAAAACGACAGCCACATCTTACACACCGCAGCGCTCCACTAAACCGCGTGATTGACACCGATCGTCTCATTAACTCGCCCTTAACAAACCGTTTTATTCAAACGAATTCAAGCCAGATCGAAATGGACCGGGAGTTATTTCATTTTTCTTTTCTTTTAGAATAATAAGAAATAGAGAATCACTCCACAGGTTGGATGATGATAACACAATCGGTGTCTTACCGCGAGCGGCCAGAGAGCTCTGCAGCATCAGCATCAGCACCGCGCCGACGGTCCCCATCCGCCGGGCCGGCAGCCCGTCCGGCGCTCGCGTCCTCTTCCCGTTCCCGGGCGAACAGGCGGCCGCAGTCCCCGCAGCCGCCATCCGTGCCGCCGGAGGGGAAGAGCAGGGCTCCCCTCGGTTGTTCACCCCTGCGGCCCCGGGGCCGCTGCCGCTGCCGGAGAGGAGCGCATGTTTTGGAGCCATTGGTCAAACAATTAATCCGGAGCGGAGAACGTCTAACGGCGCTGCTGCGGTGAAAGGCATCCGAACAACGTGCGGACAAGCGGGGCTACGCTCTCCATGAGCCCGCTGCAGGCCTGCGGGGATTGACAAGCAAACAAAGAGATTTTTTTTGTTGTTTCTTTTTTTTTTATATGCTGTTTTTTACCGTCTCACTGTTTCGGTTTCGGTTTCTGTGCGCGCAGTTTGATGTCCCTGCTGCGACCGCAGAGCGCTCCTCATCCCCGCTGAGTCCTGCGTCAATACGCGGGTGCGAAGACAGAAAACCGCCTTATCCCGCCTTCAAAATAAGAGCGTTGAGTTGGTCTAGAAATGGATTTGGCATGGCGTGGATAGAGATGCACGTCACTGCTCACTCACAAGTCAAGTCTGTCCACTATAGGCCGCCAAAGCAGTAATTATGATATATATTTAAATAAGCTCAAAACGTGCCCCTTATATGTTTATAGAAGTATGAATAAATGACACCAACGGCTGTTGTTGCACTGCTGTGAGTGGGTTGAAGTAAGTAGACGACCTGTGTCTCTATTTCATAAATGTTAGAGGAGAGATGGGACCAAAGCATGCAGGATAAAAATGAAACATTTGTAACTATTACAATATTCCAATACAACTTTGCCACAACTTGACTTGTTTTCATGTAACAGTGCAGCTACAACCATGTGAGATCCGCCAATTGCGGAAAGGATGGATCCTACATTCAGACCGACTTGAGGGACTAAAAGCCAGAACATCTCACATCTTTAAATGTATTATCATTCCATAATACCACGTGTTAGGTCGGCCCAAACCTATTTTGTTGTTAAAGGCCGATGCACAAGGACGAGAGGATAGCAATTAAATGATGGAATTATTACAATATTCCAATACAACTTTGACACTACCTATTGGTAGTGAGTTTCATGATTTCATTAGTTTATTGCCTCCAAATAAACCCAATTTGTAAACCAAGACATGCATGTAAACTGCGATGAAACTGGAAAACTCTATAGTCCGAACCAGGTGTTTAAATGGAGAATAAGAACGAAGAAGTTTCGAGTGAACGAATGTCTGCACTCTAATTAAAAGCTCTTTAACAGATACCCAGTGGCAGACCTCATTTTACTGTATAGCATTAGCTACGTGGCTAAATTCTTTAAAGCTATGCCAGTACTCTGATACCCATTTGCCCGCTGAAGTACGACTCTTTCAAAGTTGTATTTTGTAACTGTCTTCAAGTAAATGTTTTTCTGAATGAGTAAACTATCCAGCTTCCGGTCGAGTTGCTGCGGGTAGCTTGACGTGAGCTTGTGGCGGGTAGAAACAGCTCTCGCTACCGGGTTATTTGGTGTAATTATGCTAAAACCACAGTGAACAGACGGGTCACAACGCTCCGGCTAGAAGAATAAAATAATTCACACAATTCACATTGGAGGGGACACGAGGGCAACGATTTCCATGGAGACCAGTTTATTGGTGCAAAATATCTGAGTAAATGAATTGCTTATTTTTTTAATATTGTTCAAAGCACTTTGAATTACCGTGCTGAGGCAAATATTAACTTTCAATTAAAGTATTTGACTGTGGATGAGAGTTTTAAATAATTACAACCCAATTATTTTCTTATACACTCACTTTCTGATGGCTCATGTTACATTTGCATATTTCCTATTAAAAACACACGTCTAAAAGGTGTATTAGACAGTTTCCACTCCATAGTGTCTGCTTACATATTGACAGGTCCTCTATCGCGCACGCGCACACACACACACACACTAAAGTCACTCAATGAGGTCCTTTTGTTAGCAGCTGGGAGAGAATTATATATTATATTATTTAAATAGATTATGGGTTAGTATGTGTGTGTGTCAGAACACCGACTGACCGAGCGTGTTCCTGTCTGTGGAAGGAGAGCTAGCTAGCCGTTAGCAGCCGGTGGGAGTCCTACATGTGTTTGGCTGAAAGCTAATTAATTAAACTACACACAGAACCGGACTAACCGTTCAGAGGAAGCGGTTCCATGTGCCCTCATTATTTAGTTAAAAAGCAGCAGACACGAGGCCCAGAGATGAGATTTGGAATCCGTTGTCGTCCCTTCCTCAATGCGAAGGCCAAAGAGCTGTTGCTATGTATTAAAATAAGAAGACCGCAGGGACCAAAGAATAAGATTTCTTTTTTTAATTCAAAGTGAATCTTGACATAGAACACCATCAATTCAGAATTTGACACTCACCAATAAGAGTCACAAAGAAGGAACCCGCTTTTTGTGACATGGTAAATAAGGCTTGGTCACACTGAAACTCATTGAGAACTAGAGGGAGGGGGGGGGGTGACCGCCAACTGGTAAGACACACATTATCACATCCAAACAAATCATTTTCCCCAGTCCTCATTTTTGTATATTGCACAGTGCAGTTTGCTACATGTTAAACTAGAGTAGCATTTAAGAATACAGAATTTAAAATCAACAAAATTTAAATCATAAAGCCAGACAGATCAAGATAAACTTAGAACAGTAACAGTTTTCAATTTAGAAATTGTTTACACATATAGGGGTCTAAATACAATAATTATCACGCCAATAATTAGATTGTTGTGGTACGAAAGAAACAAAAACAATCAACCTAAAACGTGGCCTAGGAGTCGAGATTTTGTTCTTCCTCAGCCTGGTGATCGGATCAGACGTTCACACCTCTGCTTGTTGAGTTGATAAGTTTTGTTTTTTTATCTGACATCTTTGTTTAATACTATAACCACACACAAAAAATACCAAAGTATCCCACAGCCTGCTCTGTTGGCTGCTAGACATTTTAGACCCGGGGCCACGATGCAACTGGCAAAGAACCCACCCATCATAAATCAGCCCAAAGCAAGCGAGGGGGAAGGGGGGGCAGGACCTCGCAGGGGCCGAGCTGAGAGAACACAGCCAAACAGCAGCACATCAGACAAGTACACAACACCCACCCACCGCTTAAGCAACAACGCAAAACAATTATAATGTAAAACATTAGAGTACAACAGTGACAAAAATAAATAGCTCCAGAAACCTTTCTTGATTTGGTCGTTTTACAAGATACTTTTTCTGCTTTGTTTTTGACAATGACAAATTGTTCATCAATTACATATTGCTTTGTTTGTTGTCATTTCACAGAACCAAAGAGCCTTGGATCTCATTGATGAAGAGGAGAGGTTTCTCGCCCGAAATCGGAGCAGAGGAGAACTTTGGAGCTAAACCTTTGAGTGGGCATGAAGCCTTGAGAAACACGACGATATCTACCTGTGGTTATAGCTGCATACATGAGACCAGAGTGGCCGAGACGGCAGCTGTGTAGCCATCGCAAAAGCAACAAGCAACTCATTTGCAAACACACACATTCACTGAATAGAATAGAATAAAGCTTTACATTTGTGTATATTGAAGCCAGATGGGTTTTCCTTGTTTTAAAAAAAAATAAAAAAATAAAAAAAAGAGTTTATCCCCAGAACTATGCAGGTCTCCGTGAGCACACGATATCTTCCCTGATTTGTATCTTTAGTTTAAGTTTAAAAACTGGAAAATAACAACTTTGGGGTTTTGGTGACGTGAAAAACAGGAGCTGATCCCCTCTTGAGGAACTAGCTTCCCAAGAGTGGAAATCTTCTGCTGGCCACTTGTCTGAAGAAAGGCACTAGTTGTGCAGTACGAAGAGCTGCAAATTGGGCAATAACACGAGACACCAGTTACAGAATGGAGAAGCAGAGGCAAAATGCACACACACACACACACACAAATGCACACACGCACCAAAAGAGCAACAGAATGAAAAATAAAAACTCAACTTCCATTACAGCAGTTTATACTTCAAAAGAACAGCCAAAATACAGAGGCACTAGCATATAGGAACAGCATGTAATGTACTATAAGAAAGAAAAAACACTTCTACAATATAAAACAATAACAGGCAGGCTAGGATGAGTTTTCTCCTCTAAATTCACAGCTACCAAGTGGCAGATAATCAGTACATAGCAGCTTATTATCTATACATTCCAAATACAATTTGCCAACAAAAAAGAAAGCTCAGAAAAGTAAAACCTCAACCTCTAAATTTTTCTTCTTTTTTTAAATAAATCTCACAATACTGCAACAGTACGCTGGAGGTGAAAGCAGAAATAGCCTCAACCGTGCTTCAGAAATGATCAACGAACTGTCTTTGGTGCCGATTTGAGTAAAGGCAAAACACATACCAGCTAATGGTAAAGACACAGCAGAACTACTAAATCACACACACACACACACACACACACACACACACACACACACACACACACACACACACACACACACACACACACACACACACACACACACGGAATGTATCAAAAGTGACTTCAATACATGGACAAGAAGGTTCGTTTCCACACCTCAAATGATACTGTAGGTTATCTCAAACACTGAAAAGCATTTAAAAAGAACACACAAGAAACAATTGCCTTATGCGCCGCTCACCAAAACCTAAAACACGTCGACGCAAGTCTAGCCTAAATGCCAAGACATATTTTAAAATACACAGCAACCCAGAGGCCATCTAGATTGTATTGCAGTTACAGTAAACAGTGACTTATGAATTTAAGTACTATAGTGAATAGAAATTTATTACCAAAATATCAGATCACTCTTTATGTACATGAAAAGCTCATTCAGTCAAAGCCCTAGATATGCACCCTCTAGCTGAAGCCCGTCCTCAGAGTTAGAAAGAAAACTGAAGTCTACGTTAAAGCAAAGCCGCAAGCGTTACTCCTCCAAAGAACCCGTCGCCTGCACAGTCTGACGGTTAAGTGCTGCAAGCCTATCTTTTCTCTTTTTTGTTTAAAATGTACAATCTATTGTGTTCTGACTCAACGTCAGGCTGATTTTAATTTTTTAAGGCACTAGGGCGACGGCAGCGTTCCATCCTGATTAATACACACCGGGATGGCTTAACACACAGATCAGACCGGCTAGCACAAATGCTACAAGGCAACATAGATAAAAAGGGTGAGAGAGGGAGGTTTGGTTCGCTGACATAATCTCTCGTTATTTCCAGGTTGGGGGGGAGGAGGTTTCACTCCCCCTCGTGTCCGTCACCTTAAGTGTCTGCTGCCGGCTCTGCCCGCCCAGGTCGCAGCACCAGTCCATTTGCCGTTGGCCTTCCTCAGCAGAAGGTACCGCTGCGGGCCCGTCCCGCTCCTCAGATGTAGAACTGCGGGTGGTGGCTGAGCTTGGTGGGGCTCAGGGGGAAGCTGGTGTAAGCCACCGGAGAGGCCATGTACGGGTGCTGGAAGGGGGGGTGGTGGCCATAGCCAGATTGGTGGTGCGGGTGGATGGACGGGGATGGGAGGAGCCTGTGCGGGGGTGGAGCCGGGTGGTGCTGGGCGCAGATGCCCAGGGTGACCTGGTGCACTATAGCGCCTCCCTGGGGATGGGAGAGGCCGTAGCTGTGCTGGAGGACAGCTGGGGGAGGCGGGCGGGAGGGCAGGATGGGGTGTGGGTGGTGAGCGGTGAGTGTGGCGGCGGGGGGGTACTGCAGCAGGGCGTGCTGCGGGGCCGAGGTGTGCGTGGGACTGCTGTGCGGCAGGTGGGTGAAGGTGTGCGTGTGGCCCGTGGGGGGGATGTAAGCGTGAGGACGCAGAGACCCATAGTTGCCGTTCCACTCTTTGGCGCCGTGGTTGGAACCGTACAGCTGCACCATAGCAGTGAGAGAGAGAGTGAGACAAAGGGGAAGAGAAAGAACGACAAATCGAGAGAAAGAGCCCCGTGACACTCTGACCTACGCAGACATTTTTTTCCAGTTTTTTTGCCGGGCTTCAGATGAGAAGTTTGATGGCCTCGCTGCCGTATGGCCGTTGAGCGTGAAGCCTTAGCCGGGACCAAATAACCACTCTTAGCGTTACGCTAAAGTGTGAAACAGGCATGAAAACGGGTCACGGGTGAAAAAGGTGAGAAGGATATTACCCTTCTAGGGCAGGGCGTTTTCAACTGGTTTTGTCCCAGGGACCACCATTCTGAATAGAAAGTAATTTGCGGCCCACTGACGTGCCTGCACGTGTTTGTAACCGCCGCCGCCACGCCCCCCCACAGGTATTCTGCCTAGAACACTTAATATGTGCAGTTATCAGGGTAGATCACTAACCGCCGTCGCCACGCCCCCTAACCCCCGCGCACATATTCCGCCTGTAGCACTAGTCAGTGTAATTTCTTTTCTTCTATTTTTCACGATATTCAATAGTAGTCACTCAAGAGATTCAGTGACTGGATCTCGCGCTCCTTCTGACACGCGCACCTGTTCGCAGTTCACTGAATCTCGCGCTCCCTTCCCTTATGGTTGTAGCTGGTTGTCATCTAGGGTCCACTACCGTTACAGAGAGGTGCCGTTTGTGTTTTGACAACGTTTTATCTCATAATTTCGACTTTCTATCCCCTTTCTTCAGTAAGGAAATGGGCTTCTATAGTTGTGTGAATGCATCACTCGGGCCAATCCAAAGACGGGGTTTGTACCCAATCAGGTGTAGAGACCATGGTGACTGGCTCCGTACCCTTACTGCCAAAAAGAACAACAGCGAGTGCGTACAAAACTCCTTCGAGTGCGAGCAGAGGTTTTGCTCGCGCGAAACCGGACTTTTGCTCGCGGATGTTTGATTTATGCGCGCCCATCAACCTGAAGTGCGCTCGTATTTTGACAGTGATTTGCCGCCATACCACCCCCCCAAAAAAAACTTGATTTACGTAGGTCACCTATTTTGGTTTCTAAATGGCGAATTTGGCTGAAAGGTGAGGGATTTTCATGCCTGGTAAAAACAACACATGGAGGATTTATAGAGTCTGATTCCTGTACTGAGCTCGCCCAGAGCGACGCCCCCCTGCTAGCCGACTACTGCACAGAGCGCGTCTAGGAGCACCTCCTGCCTTATCCCTCATGGGTTAGAAAGAAGAACTGGACCAACCTGTCCAAAGCCCATGGGGGGGGGCTGCTGTTGCTGCTGCCGGGACAGGAGGGGGAAGGAGGAGGGGTTGCTCTGTTGTCCTACGAGGCTGCAGCGCCTGTTGGACCGGGACCAGGACTCTGGGAGTGGGACAGAGTGAGAAGACAGTCAAGGAGGTCCGACACAGAGCACGTTCATGAAGAACAGATAGCGGGTTGCCTCCACATCGACTGCAAACAGCGTAAAAGACCAAAGTGTGCATGCCAGAGAAAATGGATTCAGATACTGTTGTTGGTGTGTGGAGGGAAGAATTTAATAATTCTCTTCCATCTGACCACACATCTAAGCGCCACTGATGGAGAACAATGGGTTTTTTAAGGGACTTTTCAGGGTAAAAGCAGAGAGTTTATACAATATTCGAGTTGGGTTCGACCTACGCAATTGAGGTTGATGCAACAAAAGATGAAACCCGACAAACACAGTGGTCGACCCGTTTCCCTCCAGAAGAGGTTTGTAATAGAAACGCAGGGCAGTGACGCTAACTAACACAAGACAAGGGGAGAAAGAGTCAGCAGTGTGGAGGAATGACGACATCGCATGGCCAATCTCTGATGCTATTAAAGAATCAAACATGTCTTACTTATGAAGAAGATGGGAATATTCCTTTGAAACACAGCTTCATAAATTGGACAAAAGAATTTTCGGGGAAAAGGAAAGAAACAGATTGTTGGCACTCAGAAAAACCGCACCTGAAAAGCCAAGTTGATCCTTGGACTCTGATCTGTATCTGTTCCAAACTCTCTCACTGTATTCATGAAAAGTTATCTAAAGAGAACAATGTGCTGGGCACAAAAAAAGGTGACGCCAATATCAGATCAGAGCCTTTGGGTCAACGTTTACTGCATGGCAAGAACCAGCAGAGGAAGCGTAGGCTCTGACTCAACACCACATCGGATGCATCCACAATCCCTCCATAAAGTCCCCTCTTAAAAGAAGAGGGGACGCAAACGTTTAATAAAGTCTTTTACTTTATTAAACGTTTGCATCCCTGATGCAGGAAGTACTGCAGCTGCAGGGGTTATAAAGTATGGAGGGATTTATTTTAGTTATTTAAGCTGAAGGTAAAGGTTTGGTGTGATGAACCGAAACACAGACACTGTTAATAACATGAGTATAATGAGCGAAATACAAAAGCTCTTTAAACAATTATTCCACTGAAACTTTCTTTGAAAAAAGCTACTAATTTGATGTAGGGAAGGCCTATAAAAAATGACTTATGCAATATTAGCGTTGCCGGCTGCTATGGATGCATCTTCGGGTTTGTTGGAACAACATGGCCCGTTCCCTGTTGGTTTCCCCTTGATCACCTGTTACAGCCTCTATGAGCCACTAGGGGGCGGTAAGCTACTACTGCTTCCATGTGACCTGCAGAAGCACACAGTCCAAAAGTGACAGAGGCGCATGACAACGTGGCAGGATGGGAAAACATTGATGGCAGGATAAACATTTCTGGGTGTTTAATAATCACAATATTAATTGCCCTTAACCTGCAATGAAACCAACAACAACAACCACTGAGTCACATGGTACAGAAACATACAAACGATAAATTTGTTCCACACACCTATCCTCTGGAAACGCTCTGCTGTTCCGTGACCGTTGTTGTTCTGCATTCTCATCGGGGGCACCACCATGGTCCTGACGCCTGGGGGGCTGCGGCCCCGTGCTGCGTGGCAGGGCGGCGGCGCCACTGTGGCGGCTAGGTTCGGGCGGTTGTCGTCAAGGTACCGGTAGGGTCTGTCACCATGCGTCGATGTTGGCGCAGGGGAGCCTTCCACGGTGTCGCAGCCGCTCTCGTGGCTGTCGTCCTCAGACATGCTGAACGCAGAAGAGGAAATGACATGGGGACAACCTCGGGCTTAGTGTACTAGTTTAATTTTCATTTCTTCCTCAGGTAAACACTGCCACGGGCAACTTACCTGTTGGGTCTCTTGCATGGCGAGAGGGAGGGGCTGGACTGGAGCGAGTTGGAGGCAAAGGAGCCGGTGCTGAGGCTGCTGTCGGGGCTACTGAGGGAACACACTCTTTCCATAGACACACTGGTGTGTCTGCACGCCTCGCACACACACTCCTCTTTACACCTACGGGAGAGCAAAAGTCACGTCAGCATTGTTTGCGGCTCACTATAGTAGAATAAAACAAAACAACGTAATAATTATGCTCCAATGTCATGTGATCTGCCTGTTAGAGGCTCAGTTGGGTGATCAATGTCATGTGATCTGCCTGTTACAGAGGCTCAGTCGGGTGATCAATGTCATGTGATCTGCCTGTCACAGAGGCTCAGTTGGGTACTGAGAAAAATCTCGATCGGGGCAGTTAACTCACCCGCCAAGACGGCACCTCGGGAGGTCTTCGTCCTCTTCGTCGGTCAGTTCGCTGCGGATGCTGATCACGCTGGCAGCGGGGCTGGGCGTGTCGCCCATCAGGACCGCTACCTCGCGCTGCTGCCCGCCGGACGGGTCCGGCTGGCTGTTTGCCTTTGGCGCCGCCTCTTTGAAGCAGGTCGCTTTCTGCTGCACGTGGTTTTCCTCCGTGTCCCGGTTTGGAACTCCCGGCTGCACAGTTCCGGCCGCGGGCTCCTCCCTCCGAGGCTGTTCCCTACGTGCCACCGCCTGTCCGACCGCGTTGGCCATCTTGGCCGGAGCGTGGATGTTGCAGTGGGTGGACAGGTTCCTTTCAACGAGAGAGGGGATGCATTACATAATGGATGCAACGGGAAACTGGTTTAACACTCCAGAAGCAGAAACTCACCTGTTGTAACCGTGTCTGTTCCTTTTATTGGCCGGCTGGGGCCAAACAACATGAGCTATGCCGACGTTGATCGGCTGATGGGCAGAGAGGGCTGGCATAGGATTCGTCAGTAGGGGCTGTTGCATGACTGAGGTGTAGTGGCTGCTGGAGAGGGACGGTGGGCAGACAATTTCTATTAATATATCTCAAAGGAGAATAAGAGAAACATGTGATGGGAATCGATTACATGCCATTCTCTGATGGAATTAAAATGCAGATTTCCCCCCAAAATATGACAACCACAGCTTTATGTGCGGCCATTTGCACATCAATACAAATGCGGTGTTGAGATGTTTGGGGTTTACACTACGCTAAAGAAATCATGTCACAAAAAAGAGGCAACTGATGACGAACAAAAAAAATGGGGGAACAACCCGGACTAAAACTGAGGTTCCAGATGACTCACCCCCAGTCACTGATTCTTTGTGGGCCTGCTGTGGCATCGTTGGTTAGGGAGGATGGGGGTTGTGGAGGGGGGTGAGACGGAGGAGGACCCACTTGAGCCATCTGTTGCCAGGCTGCTGGGACGAGGAGCTGCTGCCCCCGGCTTGACCAGGCCTGCTACAGGGGGCATAATGGGAAAATATAATCAGCTGTGATCTGAATCAACCTACACCCCCACGAGTCTGATATACAGGGGGGGGGGGGGAATTACGCACGATACACCCGGTTCAGGCTCGGGTCTGCGTCTCACCTGAGCAATGACTCCGTGTCTCACTGGCAAGGGCTGCATGGGGGGAGCCTGAGTTACCATGGGGACAGAATACGCTGCTGGTTGGTTAAGGTTACCTTTTTTAAAAAGGGAGACAAAAACATGTCATTCTTGCAGCTCAAAAAATAAATTATATTGAGTAATGTCTTCAAAATCTTCATGATGAAAAACATTTTAAATATATATCTGTAAATATCAGTAAAATACAATAAATTCAAATAATTGTTCATCCATCATCGGTCGGCAGTGTGCACACCTTGCATGGGGGGAGGACAAAGAAAAAGGCCAGATGGGAAGGGGTCAGTGCACCCGAACTGACCGTTCCCAGCTGCTAAAGCAATCTCAGGATGCATCACAGAGGGACCCGACTGGTTTATAGCCTGCATTAGAAAAGGGCAGAGAAGACAATGGAGTGAAAGACACAGGGACCGAGATCCAGACAGAGAAGAGAGTGTAGGTTGAAAAGAATAGTCAGATTTATCAAAAATGAAGAGAGGAGGGGCAAAAACAAGTGTGGACACAGAAAGCAGATTAGTGAAAACTCTTATGTACTATGGCCTGACAAAATTGCCATAGAACAGACACGTCATTGAGTGTCTTACCCGAGTATGGACTGGTATGCTGCCGTAGCCTAGAGGTAGGCCAGAGGAGGGTGCAGGGGTCACGGGGGGCCTTGAGAAGTGAATGGTGTTCTCATTGATAGCGTCAAACACTGCGTTGGCGGGCCGACTGTGGCACATATCCATGATGCGGAATGCAGACTGCACGCTTGAGAGAACGAGAGGAGTTCAAACAAGGCCGGACAAACACAAGCGAGCAATCCAGAACCTTTGTGTCGGCGCGGCCTTACTGGTGGCTGTGTGGGTAGTCCAGCAGGTGGGTCATCGTGAGGAAGGGGTGGTTGAGGACACTGGTGGGAACGGTCCGGTCCTCGGCGTCGATCAGCAGCATGCTCCTCAGTAGGGACACAAACTCCCTCCTGTCTGCCTTTTCCGCCTGCATGGCGCTGCCATCAGGGCTCAGCACCACGTTCACCTGGCAGGCGCACGCAAAGAGAGGAATGAGAAACAGAGCCGGACAAAAGATAGTTCAGGAACCCGGGAGCTCTCAGACCGGCCCGCCGTCGTAAACGGTACAATGGTCGGTACTTGTGAAGCAGCTTTTCCACTGCATGTAATCATTCCCCCATTCACACGGTGTAGCTGTCTAAACTGTGAACGTAAGATTCATGGCAAACGATTGAATCTTGATCATTTCTAAATGAATGAAAGGAAAAAAGCCATTTGGGTGCGGTTGGACTCACGTGTGCGATGTCGTCCAGGCAGCTGAAGATGTACTTTCTGGCCTCTTTGGATTTCAGGCCTGTCTCCTTCTCGTGCTCTTCTGTTGTCTGGGGGAGGAAGGACGACATTAATTTGGTACTGAAGTGCCGTATTTAAAGAGAAACAAACAGATTTGTCTTCGTTTATGATAAGGAAAGGTCAAAGTATCACGTAAAATATACCTGTTAGGCAGATGGGTTCTAACCGGATAAACATGAGGGCAGTACTTTTCAATATTAGATATAGAATGTGCGCCATGCCAAATACGTCTCATCCTCACCAGCTAACCGGTGTGTGTGTGTGTGTGTGCGCATTTACTTTTTAGTCTCCAGGAGGCATAGGGAGAGTTGGACTCTTTGCAGAAGAAGCGAGAGGTCTTTGTTCCCTTGTTGAGCAGCTGCTCGGCCGGCACGCCCCTGAGTCTGGGAGATGTACCGGATCTGAGTCAAGAGAGGGGACAGGAACACAGAGGAAGATGTAAAGTGAGAGCGCGGAAGACACGGCGTCTCCAAAGCGTGAGCGCCACCCTCTGCATCCAATAGGACACGTTAACGGCCCTGCAATTTAACCTTCACGGAGGTGCCAAGCTGACATGGATGGACCCTCTGTGTCCGCTGGTGGGCTTGCCTGTGCTCACCTGTGTGTGCGCGCAAGTGACTGCTTGCCCCACACGCACACAGGTGAGTCCATCGGGGCGGAGCTGCAGTGCGCAGCAAAAAACTTCCAGACTTTAATAACAGGGAAATTCTGACTTAAATGAATGTAAATAGATGGCGAGCTAGCTAAACGGTAGGCTACCGTTAGCTGGTGCCAGGACTCAGTCATCAAAGCAGTGGAAAAAATAATTTTAATATACTCATGCACCGAAAGGAAGCACTAAAATTTGCGTATGGTTTCGGTACGGTAGGTACTGGTTACCAATACGGCACCGGTTCTCGGTACGCAACGCTAGTTTACTCTCAAAGCCATTCATTCAGAGGATACTGGATTTGGGTTTTAACCGTTAGTCTTGGGCTTGTGGCTCAGCTTTGTTTTTCTTATCTGCAGATATTTTATCATTTGTGCAAATTCTGCACATCACTACTAATGCATTTCAAAACACTATACCTACAAATATGACAAAGTGTGATGCCCGTGAATTATACGGAATTCTTGAGCCGTTTTTACTGGGAAGGGGGGGTTTCAGACCTTAGACCTCAAATGGAAAACTCCCAGTTCTGTGGTGAACAGGGCGGCTTGCTTCACTGACCAGAAGAATATCTTTCTGATTTGTTCTTAGTCTGTTACTTTGTTTTTGCAGTTACAGAAAGATTTACTAAAACAAAAGAAGGAGCAACATTTACACATAGAATAAGATGTTCACTCTGGGCTGCCCTGCTCTCAATTACCCTCCAAATGTGTAAAAAGGGAAATCGGATCAAAACGATCAAAAGCATTTCAGCTCATTCAGAAGTTGCAAGGGGCGGAAAGTTTCCAGTAGATTTCCGGGATTTCCACAGGATTTTTTTTTTTTTTTTTTTGCAAAAGCATATATCTTAAATGTAGTTGAGAACAAGACTATGCACTCCTAGCTTAGCCGGACACTGGATGCAGCTGGTTGGGAACATTGTCTGGCAGAAACAAACGTAAACATAAAATGTTGTTTTTGAACGTGGTAGATTCAAGCCATGTTCATTTTAATACTAAAGTTTATTTGTATACAGTAGACTAACTTTTACAGCAGTGAGAGTAGGATGCATGTATGCCTACACAAAAGTACACAACCACCTTGATTATTTGCGCTTTCGGGGTCCATCAAAAAGCGTGAGTGGGCACTTTCACACCCTACAGCAGGCTATGCAGCCACACTACTGCATTTGAGCACAGACTACATCGATCAGGTAAGTTTGATGATATACTGGGGTAAATATATTATTCATAAGACAAACACGCTGCTAGTCATTAACAAACTGACAGCTCATCGTTGGAGAAAAGCTCAATGTATCAATTTTAAGCGGACATGAGTGGGAGATGGTCATGGCTACTGTACAGTGGAGGTACTGGCTGTGTTCAAAAATTCTTAACAGTAAGATAGCGGTCTTACTACCTTGATGCCTCGTCAAGACAGGTGTCTGACTCGAGATATTTTTACGGGGTGGAAGGCCTCTCAAAAAAACGTTTTCGCACGGTCTTTTAAGATAGTTGCACAGATGATAGATAATGTGTTGGCTGACTAACGCCTCGCAAATCACATCAACATTATTGCTGCTCCAATAATGGCGTTATCGGATAGAACCGTGTCTATCTCGGTAATACAAAATGTCCAAAAAGTCATTTTTAAAAGTTGTATTAGAAATGTTTGCATGCATGTCTTGCTTATGACAAGGTAAATAAAGGTAAATTACCCCAAAATGTCCAGTATATTCACGTGGAAAGTTTCCAACTTTTAATTTTTTTTGATAATAAAAGTACATTGCACTTTTTCCAAAAAATAAAAAAAGGACACTCCAGAATGACTGTTGGGGTACGTTTTTTTTTGTGGCCGCCTGAGCGCATGTCTACGGCCCAGAACAAACACACCAAACGGCCGGAACCTGCTGATGGTGCACTGAACACTCGCCACAGTGTGCGTCCGCACGTCTACCATCAAGCTTATGCTTATAAATACATTTTGCTGTGTCGCGTGGAACTGCAGTGAGCCTTGGCATGGCACAGCATACTTTTTGGGGGGCTCAATATGCACACACGAGAGTGTGTGTGTGTGTGTGTGTGTGTGTGTTCTGGCATGGACCAGCGGTTGAGCCCTCTATGACCCACTATCTTTGACTCAAGGCATTCTAAACTGCTCAAGGCACAATTTAACCCCAAAAGACAAAACATGCCATTAATTTATTAACTCGTATTAATGGACCAAAAGGTTTGGTATCGGCTCTGCTATCGAGGTACAGCCGACTAGGTTTGCCTTGGGGAACTATGTAGATCGCTGCCTGTGCTCAAAACATGGGGTAATGCTGTGCTGGTGTGTGAATGTAGCGCAAGCCTCTTCCCATGCTCCCTCTCCCGCTTTAAAAGTCCCAGTTGTGTTGCTACGACCTCCCAACCCTCTGGGAAGATTGTCGCGCCTTGCCAAGAACAATTTCTTGATTTGCTCGGCTTAGATTAGTGTTAGGTGGATTTCATGCTGGATTTGTTGGACTTCACTCACACAGCGAGGGAGCAGCAAATACAGGTTTAACTACATAATGAATTTACTTTTGAGTTTTGGCTAGCGGAAAAAGCAGAGACCGAAGATTCCTAGACATTAAAATATTTATTCTGTAAACTCGTTCTCCATGGGTGGTAGTGGTGGATATATCTTGATCCCTACTTCGCCTCCCTATGTAAGCGACAGAAATGGTTCTTGTGTGGGAAGAATGTTACCTGGTCGTACTCCATCGCTCCGGGGTAGAGGGGCCAGCCCAAGAAGAGCTCTGCTATCACACAGCCCAGCGACCACATGTCTATGGCCTCGCTGAATGGCAGGCCCAAAATGATCTCCGGAGCCCTGCAGAGACAAAACAAAGGCCTGATAGGTTATTGAGGGAGTGGTTCAGGTACATGAGCAGATAACGGTACCTTTAAAAAAAAAAATTTTTAAAAAAAAGGTGGTTTTCATTTGGAATATTTTATTCATCCAAAATAATTTAACATGACTCTGTACTTGCTACTAGAGACTATTTTAATCTTTGATTACATTTCATCTAAAAAAAAAAAAAAAGGAGAGTTCAGTCTACTTTAAAATCAATACAAAGCAAAGCACACAGCGTAAAACAACAGGTTTCAGGATGTTACAAATTGAACATTACACGCACGCCCCACAAACAAAAGAGCTAAATCCCTCCCAACGAGCGGACTTTGCCACTTACGCAATCCTAATGGGACCAGTAATCTAGCAGCAGGCGGCGTATGAAAAACAATGGGCCATTAGGCTGGACAGAGCTGCCGAGCAACAGCGCTCCGATTAGCAACCACTGCTGTGACGGCCGCAAGGAGAGGCGAGGGGGTTGTTGCCAAGCAACCGCTAGATGCAAGAGCATGGTGTAACTGTATTACAGGGTGATAACTGAGGCCATCCCTCAATGTTCTATGTGTGTCGTTCTGTTTGCAGATGTCGTGCTTGTTGGCCTGCAACGGGGACGCTCTGCCACTTCCTGAGGCAGAAGCCCACTTATGCAACTGTGTCGCAAAGCAGGGAGTGACAAGGTGACTGGTGCTCACAGGTCGAAGTGACTTGTCATACTACACAGCGGTGGATTATGGGAGACAGACGTTGTGGTTGCAGTAGAAAACATTGTTAGGACAAAGAGGAGACTCCTGCGAGGACAAAAGACGACTTCAAATTCTTTCAAACAAACTATACGTGATAAATAATTTACTGATCCAACGGTCATAGGAATTCACATTTTTTGAAGAGCAAATATTAAAGAATAGAAAGCTGACAAACACTAAAAAGACAATTGGAGGCCTAATAAGTCTCTTTCGTCAAATTGACTTGAGAGGAAACAGATTCTGGGAACTGGTGTTGCCTAACATTTGATGGACCAGATGAAAACCGATAGTAACAAGACAACAGAAGGACTTACTTTTAACAACGTGACCCGCCGATGTCAAACTTATTTGTCTCTTTTTGTAGCCATGAAAAAATAAGTATTTAGACTTTTAGACCTTTAAACTCAAGGGGGTTGTCAAACCAAACATTCAGACTGCACACTCAATGGCAACACGCCCCTATGGCAGAGGGCCGAGAGAGCGGTACAAACTGAAAGCAGTGATAGCCTGAGGGACGCCAGCATAGCATCCAGCACGAGCAGAAGGTCTATACGTACAATGAGGTAAAAAATTGTTAAGGAAACGAAGAACAACCACCGAAAACAAACAATACCGCATGCGAGGAAGAGAATGTTGCAGCATGAATACATACGAACGGAAGTACATATGTGCAACCAGACAATACGCATGCTCCCATATTGCTTATCAGCATGAGCAGTGATCCACCATTTCACTTCCCCAAAACAGTAAAAACAAACAAGAAAAAACGTCTGACTGTTTAAAACCACGCGTTTAATGGCCCTTTTTCTTCTTGTTTTTAAACATTGAAGTGAAACTGACATTCAGAATGACTCCTCAGTAAAATGCGTGGCGATGAGGCCGAAGGCAACATGTGGGGCCCGACTCAGTCAAACCATCGTCGTCCTCCTAACTTAGAAAAACCATGGCTGAACAGCAATGAAGCAGGTCCCACCTGGATAGAACGGCAGCCAAATAGCAGACATTCTCTCCACCTGATCTGCTCAGCTGAATTATTCACACACCCCCGGTGCTTCGTTTTCATTGTGGGAGTTTTTTTTCTTTACGTCACCGGCCCCCGAAGGAGAGCACAGTCACCTCAGCGGGGCTAGCTGCGTCATGGCGCCATGGCAACAACACATCAGAGTGTGACAGGCGTCGGTGGGGGGGGGGGGGTGTTTCTGCCATGAGACTTCGAACTGTAGCAGAAATCCAACCATGTTCAAGCTGGTGACTCAGCGAGGTCGCACCCAGTTCGCTGGAGGTGAATGAAATAATAAAAAGCACCCAGAATGCGCTACTGCGGGAAGCCTAGATTCTATTTACATTGCGGTGGACTGACCAGGTCCATTTAGGAACAATTAAAATGTAGATTAAGGAAATGAAAATGTCATTAGAAAGGAAACATCTGTATACATTGCGCAATGAATGTGTAAAGGTAAAATACACACAATGACGACGGCACGTAACAGGACAGACTTTATTAAAACATGCACAGTGGCCAGATACTGATCAAGGCAATAAATGAAAGCAAAGGCCGCTGTATTTACACGACTCCATTACTCGTTGTTACAGATTCCATTTGACTGAAACAGAATTCATTGAGTCATCCAAATGAGAAATAATCACAACTATTATTATTCCTAATCAAGACAACGCTTGTTACATGCTAATAAAAACCCGATCTGCTCAATTATCATTTCAAGCGAGTCATTTACATGGCGCACATGCTGGTAACCAGAAATATTAAAAACCCAGGAATGCCTGGCGCCTTTTTTTTGCATCCTTAAAAAAAAAAAAAAAAAGAAATTCATATTAATGCCAACTCTACTCCCTGTGGCAGGGAAAAACCCAACGCTGTTGAACAAAACAAAACAAACCGGCGTCCACCCTCTGCGGTGAGGCCAGCATTTCTTTACAGCTTCACTGTGGCAACAGTACAGCCATTATGCAACATGAGCGCTGGGGACGAGGAGACGCTGTCTTGATAACCTCCACGTACAAACAATGACACATACTCAAGTCTCTGAGTCAAATCACATAGCCGTATATAGAAAACGGGTGGCCAGAGGGTGGGCGGTCGGCGGCGTGCCTTTGCGCTTCTTCCTGTGAACACGGACATTTAGCTAACCACGTCCTACCAAAGTAAACTACGAATGCGTCATGGTGAAACTGACTTCCATATATACACACACACACAGGCAACAGGAAGCAAAAATAGCGAGTAGACAGAGGTCTCCCATAATAAACACTTACTGTGTCTCTACTCTGGGAATAAGCCTTCCACCTAATGGTCCTTTATTATTTGGGTGAAGAAAAAAAATATTGTGCAAAGCAAAAAGGAATCAAAATAATAGATTGAAACTGTCGGCGTCCGCAGAAAAACGCATCCAGATGTTGAACTGCACCAGCTTCAGGTCCACGGTGCTTTGTGGAAGTTACAGAAGTTGACTCAATGATTTTCCTTATTTAAAAAAAATAAATCCCACCCGTTATCAGGCAGCATTTTAGGCTACATTGTGTAACCTCCGTAAAGTATCCGCTTTTGCGCGCGCGCACGCACGCACACACACACACACACACTTTTTTTTTCCCTGCTCTAAATGTGCGTTTTCACATTCCTCCTGGACCCTCTGTGTCCTTGGCGACCTCCAGCTCACTTTAACTGCACTGTGGGCACATGAGCACGCAAACCCTTGCATCCACTCGCACTTAACCGGGTCGACAGCTAGACTAGGGCTTCACTCTCCTCATCTCGAAGGCATGTGGGAGCACTATGTGACTCTCTTTTGCCAAAAAATAGGCCCCCAGGGGTTGACGCTGGGATTCTGGTGCTCCTCCAATTTCAGTTTGGTCTCAACTCGCTCGTCTGTGTCTTGATTTATACACCGCTAGCTCACGTTACAGTTGGAATCACTGAGAAGATGGTGTCCTCCTCACAGGGCTATAAAATCCATGCTGGAAGTGTTCTGATGGGTTTGTGGAGTGCCTCAGCTGCAGAAACACAACAGCATCTCAAGTATTTGTCACAAATCGCACAATGTTGGCACCAGCTTAACCTACTAGACCGGACCTGCTTGCTGGAACTTGCTGGCAGCAGCGGGGTGAATGAAATTGCTCATCTCGTGTAGTAAGTAGTAGTAGTAAAGTAGGTAGTACTTAGTGCAGGTTTGCGGCTTTATAACTAAATTAATTTCAGCTTGCTTGCCTGCCAGATGCGCCGACCGCTTTATGACACCGTTCCCTACCATAAACGTCTCAGTTCAGTTATGCAAGGATAGAAGAATCAGGGCGTGACTCCTTGAAGCGCTGATCAAATGCACGCGCACGCACAAATTTCAGCAGTCCAAAAAAAGTGAGGACGTGAAGGAAAGAGTGAGGCAGCAGGCCAAACAGAAAGTCTAGGTGAGAAAACGTCATATGCAGAGAAGTCCATACCTGTAGTATCTGGACTGCAGGTAAGTGGAGCAGACGGCCTTGGAGACGTGGCTGGCCGAGCCGAAGTCAATCACCTTGACTCTGTAGGGCTGCCTGGAGGGGTCCACCAGCATGATGTTTTCTGGCTTCAGGTCGGCGTGGATCAAACCCAGAGACTTGAGCTTCTTTAAAGCTGTCGCCACCTGGAAAGAGTTACGTGAATGAAAAACGCACCTTGGGTTGCTCCAACACTTCCAAATGTAGTCTTCTGTGAGCACCTGCGTTTGCGTGCTGAATCTATGCGCGTGTGCGCTGCCTCTCCACTGACTTTACCTGCTGTAGGACGGGCCGGATGATTTTGAGCGGCAGTGGACTGAACTTGTTCCGTTTCAGGAAGTCGTAGAGGTTTTGCTCCAGCATCTCAAACACCAGGCAGGTGTGGCTGCGGTGCTGAAAGCACTCCAGGGCGCGCACCACGTTGTGCTCATCGGCATTTTCGCTGCTCAAACGGGCCAAGATCTCCACCTGGGGGGGGGGGGGGGACAAGACGGGAAACAGCAGAAGTTCAGTTCAGACAATAAAACACGTCCATAGATTACATTTCAGTCTGTCGTGATAAAAAAAAGAAAATGGCACTAGAAGCAGTGATTCGTTTCACCGCACAACAAAGCCTCGCAGACTCTCACCTCTATCTGCCCCTGGCGCGCATACGACGGGTGGTTCTTCAGTATCTTGACGGCCACCACTTCACTCGTGCCCCTCTTCCAGCACTTCACCACCTGACCGAATGTTCCACGGCCAAGGAACTCCAAAACCTCGTAGCTGTTCTTCAGGGAGCTCAGAACCTCGTGCTGGATGAGCTGATAGTCGCCGTCTAGAGATCCAGTCCTGGTCAGCGTGGCGCCGGCTGCGGCACGAGTGCTGCCACTGGACCCGATTCCGGTTCCCTCGGCGTCGAGTCCCATGTTGGTCACTGCCTCGGCTCTGCCGTGCTGAATGGACAGATCCCCTCCGCAGCCGACTCTGGCGGCGTCTGCGTGGCTCCCCGCGCTGGCGTGCAACATGACTACAGGGGGAGGAAGTGACGATAGAGCAGATACCTCCTCCACTATCTGCATGGTTCCTAAGCAGCTGTTCTGCCGCGGACGCTCGCCACCTGGCTTCTTCTCACTTATCTGGGGGGCACCTGATCCTAGAAGGCTGACGTATCCCGGCTCTCCTGTCTCTGTACTACCGTGGCCTGCAATGCGCGCTGCTCCCTCGCCGTAAAGTTCCTGGATTGGCAGCGGCTGAAGACGGGATCACGTTGTTCGGGTAGGCGATATCGTAGTTGACGCCGATCACGTAAGTCTTGGCTGTTGGCCGGTGCTGAAATGCTCTGCTGATGTTGTGCTTGCGGTGAGCTTCTTCTTTTTGTCTGCTGGTTCTTAAGGCACTTCTTTGAGCAGAGTGCAGGTGTGATGGGTAGACCAAGACTTGTGAGGCCATACCTGGAGAAACAGAAATTAAACACAGGGAAGACGGATCTTTTAGCCAACAATAAACCAAGCGAGCTTTCATTTCTGTGTTCCCACCGAACGCACTGCAAATCTTTGCACTACATTACCGGCGGGGAGAAAATACCTCAGACATTCCAGAAAACGAGACAGTCTTGTCTGGGTTCAGAACATTTTTCGCCCCAAGAAATACATTGTGTTTGATTTCATTGCAAAGAACGCATGAAAGCCATGCCTAAATAACCACACAATGATGCAGATTAGTAAAAAGTTGAGATGTCTGCCTCAAACTATTAGAATGTTTTCAGGATGCAGAGCAGAGTGATCGGGGCTAGGCTTTGCTAACATTCTAGCTAATCTGTCAACACTCAAAATAGCCTAATTTGAGTAAAAAATGGCAGTGGCATTATTGTCCGTACCACCGACGCGTGGTTCACACGCATGCATCACATATGTTTTCAGCCGGTATTCAAGTGCCCACTTCTGGTTAAAATAAGTTTCCTTAAATTCTGCTTCAACCACATCAAGATGTCAGCGATGACCGGAGGAAAAACTTTAACACTACTTTCGTAACACAAGAGCCAAGCCAATTTCTTGATTAAAAAAATTCCAACAAATACGAGAACAAGGTCAATTGGCGTATTATCGTATTCCTTATCACTATCCTTCTGAGCATTATTGAAGTCTGTATAATGTTATCATAAAAGCTGCCGAAGCCAATACACACCCAGGCCTTAACGTCATACGTACTTAAAAGAGGAACAAGCCTACTGTAATTGGAGATGGGAGGGGCGTTATATCTCTGGCTTGTCCCCACATGCCACACCGGACAGTCAGTTTCACACAAAGGAGAACCCCAAAGAAAGCCCTGACCTCTGGTAATTAAGACATAAAAGAGGGAGAAGAAGAAAAGCACAGACAGCGAATTGTAAAGACCAAAATACAGATCTCAACCACATGAGTGTTTTCTCATGCGCTGGAAAAACACATAGCTGATGGAGAGTATCATATAAATATAAAGACTGGTCAATCAAAAGTATACTTTAAGTTTCTGTCAGCGACACTCCTCTCTTCGCAGCAAGTCATGACACCGTGAGAACAGGCAGAGGCAGAGCCTGTCAGCCACACTTCCTGATTATGTCCAAACAGAGACCGATTGTGCTCGACCGGGCTCACACGCCGACTCAGGTGACTCAAGTCTCAAGGCTTCCTCACACGTGTTGCACAAATGCACTTAAGGAGCAGTCTCCAGCACGTTTTTTTTGCCCTCCAAAGAAATAACCGAAGATGCAGCCAAACACAGGTTGAGACAAGCGCAGGGGTGTGCCTCGGCATCAACACCACAATGCAGCACACTTGGTTTCTCACGACCAGGAAAGGCTGGTGAGTTCAAGGCAAGGCAAGGCAATTTTATTTGTATAGCGCTTATACACAAGGCAGACTCAAAGTGCTTCATAACATTTCATACAATAAAGTGAAATAAAATGCAGGAATTAAAAGACAATTAAAAACAGCAAATAAAATGATAAATTAAAATCTTATTTAAATTGTTTAATTAAAGGCAGAGGTTAAAAGTGCAATGTAGGTAAAGTTTAGCAGAAGGCGAAGCTGAAAATAAAAGTTTTCAGTCTTGTTTTAAACGTGGTCAGAGTTGGGGCAAGTCTTAAAAGTTCAGGAAGTTTATTCCAGCTGTTTGTTGCGTAGTAACTAAATGATGCTTTCCCATGATTTGTATTTACTCTTTTTTTGGAAGACCTGCAAGGAGACCATTACAATAGTCTAGCCTACTAGTTATAAAGGCATGTACAAGTGTTTCTAAGTCTTGAGCTGACATAAGCCCTCCAAGTCGTGCTACATTTTTGAGGTGGTAGTAGGCCGATTTTGTTACTGATTTGATGTGACTCTCAAAGTGTCAAATCAAGGAGAGTACGTTTACCTGTAAAATGAAACGTTCCAAAACTAAATCGCCAAAGAAAGACAGCAAGCAGGTTGCCATTGGAGATCACTGCCTGCGTGGTAGAAAAAGACTTTCTTCACTTACTACCCACAGCTGCAAGTCTGGCAAATATTGATAATTAAAAATAAAAACCTTGCTCATACAACTGACAAAAGTCCCAGTGAAAGCAACAGAAGAAGCCCTATCAGCCGGTGTGCGCTTGACAAGAGGCCATGGCCGGTCATTGAGGGAGAGGCTGCTGGCAGGTCACGGAGCTGGCCTCTTACTGCCAAGCACAGGTAGCCTGATATCCCGCAGGGACACAAGACCAGGCCTGAAATGAGAGAGCCACGACGGAGAAGTGCGCGTGCAAGCTGGTATTTTCAGTTGTAGATGAGAGCCAGCTGAAGAACGTCATTTGGTACTTATCAATCAGATAGTTGACATATGGAAAGAGGGGTGTGTGTGTGTGTGTGTGTGTGTGTGGGAGGGGGGAAGGGCCAGACCAGCCTGACACCTGTTGAAACTTTTGTTGTTAGTGACAGGCAGCTAACGTTAGATCATGGCTGTGTTACACCAGGCGGAACGGACATTAACGACCTTAAAGGGCGCTTTCATAAACAACCTGGCTAATGTAAACTTGCTTTAAGGTCGCTGTTACTAACGTTATTCATTTTCCTTGATACATTCTATCCACGTCACACGTTGTTTAAAGTTATCCGATATCAAAACACACGTGAATGCTCTTAACGTGGCCCCGCATAACTCCGTCGTTGGACTAATTAGCTTCCGCTGCTAACACTTATCTGGGGGAAACTAACGTTAAGTCAAGTTGGCTAGCTTACCAGTTAGCCAACACGCTAGCAACGGGCGAAGTAACGTAACGTTAGTACCAACATTCAAATGATAAAATAACACACACACGTAACCGTGCCACTGATATATTTGACAACCGGTTTGCTCTCACAAAGTGTCATACCTTCAGTGGTAGCCATTAATCGCAGCACCCAGCGCTTCGGGGGACGGCACCGCGGTCAGATCCTGCAACGACGGCGTTGCTGCCGCTGCGTCCATCTTGTTCGGCGACGAGGCGAGAGCGAGCGACTTTCCGCACATTTGAAGCGTCAAATAACGTCAAATAACTCGCCGTTACAAACGCCAGCTGTCAGCCATGGTTCCGGCAGCCGTCTCAGGATTCGCCCGGCGTCGCTCTTGTCTGTATTCAGCACCAGGAACCCGTGTTTCGAAACTTTTGCACCGTTAATGCACCGCGTCCCCCCCCAGCGGAGAATAGCCGCTAGCTGTTGCTGCTCGTTTGGTAGCTTGTTGCTTCTCCGCATGTGTGGAATGTTGGGGGTAGAGCGAGAGAGAGGGGGGCGGGGAGAGAGAGTCCATAAATGTCACTGTGTGACAACTTGACTTCCATGTTGTTTTTCTCCATTTAGATAAGTAACACATGTCACACACGTGTTGATGTGACGTGTTCATTGAATCATCCGACGAGCTGTCTTTATTTCTCATATCTCAAAATCTGCCCACATTCCAACTGCCCGGGTCTCAGGTTTACCTCTCAGCGTTATCTGATTATTGAACGCGTATTCTACAATATCAACCGAAGGAGGGTCCTGCCTTTTCAACTAATGTTGTGTGGGCGCTTTAACTTTTTTTTAGTTTTAGTTTACATCCTGGCGTATGGTGCATTTAAAAAAAGAAAATTAAATTGCCGCAAAGAAACCTGCCCAGACATGGCCTGGTGCCGGGTTGTACCTTTCTCCTATTATGCGTCTGGTTTGTATGGTAGCTCAAAAGTGACGTGTGGTTTTGTTTACCACAACGTCAGCTTGGGAAGCAGAGTATGTATATTTTTAGGTGAAGGGTCGATATGGAGCTAAGAAGTAGTCCTTCCGTGGCCCCTTGAACCGGGCACTGGCCATCAGAACCGCAGCCTGTGTCTGCGGTTCTTACTTGCCACGTAAGAGTCTGCAGAATGAGTCAAATGCAGGGAAGGCCTTTAGCCAATGATGTGTCGAGTAGAACCTCCTACTGCATGTGTTCCCACAGTACCGTCGCCCATAATTATAATAATTTATTCCATCTACTGCTTTGTAAAGAAAGAGGCCTCACCATCCCCCCCAGGTGTGGACAAATGTACCATTGAATCAGAAAGGAATGCAAAGCTGAGTTGAAATGGGTCATCGTTGCCTTTTGATTCCACAAAACGGCATTCAGAGAACTACATCTCAATAAAAAATACAACACACAACTTTTCTTTCTCCCAATGGAAATTATGGTCATGGGTTGATCCCAGATTACACCAGAAGAATACAATTATAGTTGAGTATATTGTAAAACTGCAAAAGTGCTGCTAACACACACCACTGATGTATTACTAATATGCCTGATAGAACCATAGAATTATTTTTTTGATTTTTAGAATATTGAAAATGAATAACAAGATCTATTGAAATAGTACTGAAAAGTACCACAGACCATTTTGAAATGTGACACTACCTATTTCAAAATGAAGGTGCATCCGCCATGAAATAGCTCTTTAAAATGCATACTTTTTTCTCATTCTTACGTCCATCCTAATGTTGTCACACTTACGTGTTCACATTGTAACACGCTCCTTGTTGCAAAGACGCCAAAATACATCAAACACTTGGTTTTTGTCATCAAGAGAGTAATTAAATAAAATTGCATAGAGAGAAGAAAATATACGTAAACAATTATTGTAAATTTTGCTAGAAAATCAAGTAATTCATGGTTCAACTGTATATATCAGATTAATTGGACTTCTGGCTCCACCTAGGTCTGCTACGAAAACTACATGCTAGTGTTCTGCTGAGGACAATCGGTCTTCACACACAGTTCACATGTAGAGGGAGAAATAAGCCATTTGGGACGGACAAAGCTTTATTGGCATGTGGGATTGACATTAAAAGACAAATACCGGCGTAATCGGTGGCGTCATGCAATGCAAATGTGTTATTCAACGTCATCCTGCTTGATAGAGCAAAAAAACGTTACACGCTACCACACGGTACAATTGTTGTGTCAAATATTAAGCAAAGCAACCATTATTGTACATCAATGTTTTTAATCTGTCATTTATATGTATAAATAAATGACAGATTAAAAATCTTTGATATGGCGCTGTGTGTTCAAAAGTCACATTCATTAAAAAACGATTTATTGAATTGGCCAACAGTATTTAATACCTTGAGAAAATTGATGCCCTTTGATCAGCATATAGTCATGATGAATATATATATATATATATATATTGATCTTTTCAGATCCATGTTGCTGTCAGATTGCAAGAGCACACTGTTTTGTAACAGCAGCAAACGTGTTGTTTTTGAAAGCCTCAATGCCATCAAATGTAGATCAAACGTTTCTTTCAATAAAAACATTTTTGACAACTCAAAATTCATTGTAATTCATTGACTTCAAGGAATTATTTTGTGGGCAGAACATTCCTACACATATCTGAACGAATGTGGCCCAACGTGTTGGACAAAGGTAAAAATTCTTAACATGTTATCAACCATTAGAACAAAATGCAATTGAGAAACTATTAAAAGACAGCTACGGTTCAAATAGGTCTGGTCCCATCAACTCCCTCTTTCACTTTCCTCTTTTCTAATGAACCGCACACACACACACGTACAGCAGATACAAAAAGTCTACCTTTATTTTTATATTACTAGTGTGGACTAATTCAAGAAAAAATACGTAGGAAGTTATTCTCAGATTCTTGTTAAGAGGAATCTCATCGAAATGTCATCTGGCCGCTGCTGCACTTCAGAGGCAGTACGAAGATTTGGACCCTCAAGCAGGCTTTTATGTTATGAAATAAATTCAGTGCTCAAAAAGGTATGTTATTTCATTTTTTATACACGTCGAAACCCAAACATCTGAACTGTCGAACTAAGCCAATCTGATAATAAGAATGTTTTGATTTCAATCACCAAAAAAGGGTATAATTTGTAACCACAACAGTAAAAAGGCCACAGTCCATCATCTGGCGTCTTGCTCATTCCATTACAACAGCAGCACAGAGTTTGAAAACTGCTCACTCCTGAATGCTGACTAAAGAGGTGCTGCTGCTGCTGTGTTCGGAGTACGATCTTTCGTCAGGCCTCTTTGAGCAGAATGAGTGCCAGTGTTTACTGAAGGAGAGCTCTAGGAGGACCTTGTCCGGCGTTGACTCAAGCCTTAGCTTTACTTGCTAAACGGGACGACAAAATGCAGAAGGCCACATGTGGGATTTGAACCCAGGCCACTGCGGTAACCATGGGAACTTAACAAAGCTATTTTACATGTATTTAACAAATTGGAAGATTTTAAGAGAGATTTAAAGAATCTGGTACAACAAAGAGTAAATTGATAATTCAAATGCATTAATACGAAAAATATTCACTCAGTGCCTCATGTATCTCACTTGAAGAATCTGTTTTAGGCTCCTCCCCTTTTGATTAGACCCATGTGCCCTGCCAAATATATGAATGAACCAGTAGTTGCCACAAATGCAGCTCGTTATTGCGGCCTTCCACACAGAGTAGGACTTGGTAAATCTCTGCATTATTGTAAAATATCATTATTTATTAACTCATGTAATAGTCAATTTTAATTTACGTGAACATAATGTGTTCTGTTTTGCATCCTGTGAAAAATGAGTCATATAAATGAGGTGTTTTTTAGAGGAAGCGTTTGGAGGGTTTGCAACATTTTTTTAAGTTTTAAATGAAACGTTCAGGCAGCTTCCTGCAGCCTAATTTCGACACAGTGGTTGCTAGGCAATTGCTCCCGGGCACAACATTCCTACATTTCCCTTGAGAAAAATAAATCTGTCGAAAAAATATTCAAGACCATGACGAGATTCAACGGCCGGTAAAATTGTCAATTTAAACAACCGGGAGAAACCATGTTAATTCAGAGGTGTGGACTAAGCGGGACTCTTCTTGCTCGTTGCCAGTCCCAACTAGCCGGCTGATCTTCTCGTCTCTAACTCTTGCAGATGTGGAACCCCTTAATGAGCTTGTTGGCTTTTCTCATGGAATGCGGCCTGCATGTCTCGGCCCGAACTCCATCTCCCTGCAACTCCTCACATGTTGAGACGCCATAAGAGCGCCTTATAATAACACATAGAATAAATGACATACAGAGAATGAGCATAGCATCAAACAGCTGTATTTGCCACGTACAGATAAAGTGATGTCTCTCTGTGTCCGTATGAAGTCGCTCTCCCTGTGTGTTGTAATCCGAGCTTTTCTGGGTTTTATTAACATAGCGGGCTGGTCGCTAAAATGCCATTTTGGCAAGCTAATGGCCAACCTCTGGTCCCCCCCCTCAGGTTAACCCTGTCAGCTCTGTTGCTGTAGTTTGTACTCAAAGAATTGTTGGAGCACGTTTAAAGAGATTGGGCCGTAGGTTTAGGTGTAGACATTTTTTTTTTTTTTTTTTTAAAGATTCACAGAATAAACTCGGGCCGAAACGCAGCAGGACCAAACGTGTGTCACTCTGAGTACATACTATTTAAATAGAAAGACCCTCAGTGTGTCCAGTTGATTTTATCTTTAACATAGATGTCAAAGATTTAAAAGAGTAGATTCATTCATCTTATATCGCAGCTCCCTATAGTGTTCTACGCTGCAAAGTAAGGTGAGCATAACACGTAGTGTTGGTTCTAAAACACAGCTATTGGCTCGGATGAAGTGAAGGACACCCGGCCGTGCGAGGAACACTGAACAGAGGGCAGCCGGAGGGTTATGAGGCCTGAGATTTGATCCTAGAAGCAGCAGTGGGAGTTGATGCCATCGAGATGGTCGCTAGTGGGTTTGCTTTCATTATATCGGTTAAAGGTGCAAGCGCTGGGGACCGATAAGCGTCCTCAGCGGAAGAGGAGGGGAATGACGGAGGGGGGCGGGGGAGAGGGGTGGGGGGCAAACTGCTTACGTCCCAGTGCTGGGACTCTCCCCGGGTGCCAGGAGTTTTTGGAGAATCTTTTGGTAGAACGGGGAGAAGACCAGCTTGTTGAAGTTGATGAGGCGACTGAAGCGAACAGCGAGCTCCTTCACCTCCCTGCCGACCGGGGCCAGACCTCCAGGGAGAGAGGGGGGGTTCTTGTGTTGACTGGACTCTAGGGAGGCCAGTAGGTAGTTCTGAAGCCGGGACTCTGAGGGAAGTGGGAAAAGAGAGAAGCCACATGAACGTGTGCCCGAAAAACGCGAGGCTTCGTCGGCCCCCGAAAGCCCCTCCCACGCCGCGCCTTCTTACCCATCAGCTGGCGGACGCTGTTGTCGGGCTGGATGATAGCGGAGATCTGTCCCGTCAGAGCGCTCCTCCGGACCGCCGTGAACGGAGAGTAGCCGTGTCGGCTCAGACACTCGCTCAGCTCGACACACAGCTTCTCCCCGACGGTCGCTAAGGCCTCCGGTGCGTTGAAGGACCTGGCGACAGGCAACAGGGAGGCGTTCAAGTACAGCGGCACTCACACCACATACATATGGATGGATGGTCGGTTTTGCTGTGGGACGTCACTTGGTGGATGAAGGATAAGTTGGAAACAAGACAGCCAGATTCTTTGTAAAATGTGGGAGCGAAACAGGTTGCATAGTAATATTCGTTCATTCATTTAGCAGGTTGTCGCTGCCCGTTATTACGGCGCTGTGCCTATGAACGTGAACATAATATACGCGACCTGGGGGCCACCCAAAGAGGGACCAATCAGTAAAAAGTATTTCCCTGTTGTTCTCGCTACGTTTATGTATTATTTTCTTGTCTTTTTTGACAAAGCATTACAGCATAACGGTACCCCGTGCTGTGATGTAGTAACGCAGTGCTAAAGAGGTACAAAGATCACTGATGGTGAAAGCGCAGTGGGGCCGCTACTCACGCCGCGTGCATGTCCGCAAATATGGCGCTGACGATGTCCTTCAGCTTCTCCATCAGCCCCGGCAGGCCGGATATGGCCTCCCCCGTGGTGGTGTAGACGATGAGCAGCACGGACGACAGCATGACCAGCCGCTCCTCCTCTCGGTGCATCTCCTGGAACCGGACCTGATCCATCAGCACCGTCTGCAGGGGGGGCGTGAGAAGGGGGGGGGGCGTGAGGCGAGGAGACGGGCCGCAGCACAGAGGGACTTCCGGCGGTTTTGCGTTCACCTCTGGGAAGGGGTCGGAGGCGTGGGACCACGTCAGCAGGCGGAGGTAGGCGTGGTTGTGGACGTTGACGGGGGAGAGGGAGGGAGGGCCTGACGACGGGGCGCAGGGGCCCCTCTCTCTCATGCATCTCAGCGTGTCCTCGAGCCACTTCTCTGTGTAGTCTAAGGCATCTGAAGGGGGGGGGGTTCATCGTTAGATCGAGGCGCCAATGAAAGAGGCCTGCTCTTAGTGGAGAAGCTAATAGCGACATTGACTTTGAATGGGACAATGCGTCATTTAATTTAACCTCATCGGCTTTAGTATGTGCAGACTGTGTCGCCGTTAAGGAGTCGCTGGGCTTCATTTTGTTTCAGGCTGTAATTGGTTAGCTGCCTCGATGCGAAGCTATAAAGAAGGTAAAAGGGGACAGAATATCTACTAATGGGTTTCAGCGGTTTCTATGTGCCTGCATAAATGAGTCATGGAAAAGAGAGATTCCTTACTGGGGTGCTTCTCCAGAAACCCCTGGAACTTGCTCCTCTCGTACTCGACCGACTGCTGCATCAGGTGAGGCCGGATGCTGGTCAGGGCGAAGTTAGCCATGTCCACCTTCATCAGGTCCAGCACGGAGAATATTTCCCTGGGAGGGAGACAGAAACGGGGGGGCTCACACGGCGCCTAACGCTACCCTCCCAAAATGCACTGTTGGAGGTTTGAGATTCCGGGTCCAACCTCGACCACTTGGTCGGCGTTAGCTCCTCAAGCGTCATTCCAGAACGCCCTGATCCCCTTTGCCCAAGCGGACTGGAAGGAAAATTCCACCTAAAGTCATACCCTGAGGCCCCCCCCTCCACCCCAAAACATGCCTGACTCGTAATTGTTTCCCGGGCTCACTTAAGCAGGGGCACGATGTCAGTGATCTCCTTCAGCTTTCGGATGTCCTCGTCCCTGCAGGGGGCGCACAGCGAGCCCATCATCCCGACGATGAACTGGGACAGCTTGCCGATGTCCAGCGCGCCGTTCTCGGCCTGCTGCTGGATCAGCGGCAGGTCCAGGACCTCCTCGATGCGGGAGCGCAGGCGGCCGTGGCCCGGCAGCAGGAAGGACAGCAAGGTCTGGGGGAAAGGGGGTGAAAGACGTGCTGCCGGGATTTTTCTCCAGACACGTGACAACAGCAGCTGGAAATAAGACATCACATTTGAGCCTCACCTCTCTGATCTCGGACAGCAGCTTGATGGAGTGTCCATACGTCTGCGGTTCCTCCTTCAGCTGAGCCTCCAAGCAATCCCAGAATGCCTTGTGCATGATCTCCTTCACTTGGCGCTCCAAGCTGTGCACAGGAGGGGCCGTTACTTCTACAGCGAGAGAACAAAGGACTCTGGGCTATGTGGTTGAATGCTCACCTCCCCTCGGGAAGGACCACCGGTTTGACTTGAAAATCCTGGTTGACCATTATTTCATGAGCCAAAGCCATGTTGGTGACTCCTTCAGCCGTCTCCATCAGCTCCTCCACGGAGACGAACCGGGGCGGGCTGGCTGTAAAAGAAATCCACCTTCCATCATAATGTGCTTCTTCCTTTCTTAAACAAATTTCCACTGTCCACTTGAGTGTAACTTTAGTAAAAGCAGCCACACACACACACACACACAGTCAGGTGACAATAGTCGGTTTGGAAATCTGCTTCAAAAATAGACTTTTTGTTATTATAACTCGACAGCAATTATTAAGTCCCATTCTCTGGCAAAAAAACCAAGAATATGGCGTGCTCACAATAGCCATGTAACATGTGTTGATGTGGTCCCACGTCGGGGGTCTACTGGATGAGATTGACGAGACAACATGCTACACAGTGGCTGTTTTACAGTAACCGGTTGAGACCTTCAAGCTGGGGTCCCTTTTAAGTAGGAGGTTTAACAAACCTTGAGTCAAACCCTAAACTCTGAAAGTATTTATCCTGAGATGGAAAACTCAGTTTGGGGTTTCAGAACAGCTGTTAAAGTTGGTTCAATCATCCATCCTGTGGAACTCCTCTTTATTGCTGTCACTGGTTTGTGTCCAGGGAACAAAAAGGTTTAAAAGACGTTTCAGAGCGACGCACACGTTTCTCACTGCTCTGCATACAGCAGCTTTACTAATATTCTAACTTTGTACAGGAAACTACCGTTTGCAAAAAAAAAAGTAATACTACACAAAGAATCTGCTCGGTGACTAACGTCACCCATTTGCTATTTGAGGACGGATGCGGTTATGTACATATTTGATGGACTGTGAAGAAAAACAATACCGTTCAAACAAGTAGCTTTGGAAATGACAATATACCTAATCGGAATGGGAGCCACTGTGGGTGAGTAGGGAGCACGGTCGTCCTCCAATCAGAGGGTTGTCGGTTCGATCCCAGGCCCGGCTAACCCACATGTCGTTGTGTCCTTGGGCAAGACACTTAACCCAACATTGCTCCTGTAGCTGCGACTACAGTGTATGAGTGGTAGTTACTGATGAGCAGGTGTCACTGTGTATGGTTCTCCTGTCATCAGTGTATGAATGGGTGTGAATGGGTGAATGATGTCATGTAGTGTTAAACGCGCTGTGTGATTGGCTGGGCTGCTGTCAGAGGGAGGCGACTGTGAAAGAAACTCGAGGTTTATTGAAGAAAACCTGCTCCCGACCAGGTTATGTTCACAGGCTCAGTTACCATGGCGACTGAGCCTGAGCTTTAGTTACCTCCCTTTCTGAAACAGACAAGCCAGGGTTGTCCTCATCTCAGGGTTAACAAACTGAGTTTCCACTAGACCTGCTTCTTGGAACGGACCCCTGTTCACTTCAGGAGGCTGAGCGAGCTAACCCGCCTTCCTAATCTGAGTAGACTTCTTTCCGTCTCTGGTCAGCTTGGTGTGATCAATCCTTTTCTCACCTTGAGGAGTGTTCCCCCTGTGGGGGCTCGAACTATTTGCCCGTATCCTCTCATTCAATGTGGCCTCGGGAGCACCCTGCATCCTCTCCTCCTCCTCCTTCTTCTTCGATTCCTTGTCTCCTCTGGCCTCAAGGTGGTCCGCCTCGTTAGGCATGCTTCAGTCTGCACGATAACACATTATGTTTGCAATCAGCAGAATGTTGCATGTATGTTACTGTAACAGTTCTTGTGGGGTGGGGGTCTTCTTCTAGCTAGACATGCAGTATTGCTACATCAATGAACATTATTTGTACGTTATGCGTTTTTGTTGCAGTCCAAACAGGAGATCAGGAGAGATGCAAGTTTGTTGTTGTAATCGAACGACAGATGATGACATCACCTAGACTGATAAGGGGGGGGGGGGGGCGTGTTGCTAAGCCCGCCGACTGAGAGGCGGTGGACACCACCAAGGCAAATGTAGCAAAGCCTCGCGGTACCGTGGCAGCGAGTGAATGCCCGTCCGCGGCAACGGTACTAACCTTCAGCGCGTGGGAAGCCCCGAGGAGGGAGACTGGTGAGCCGAGAGGCTCAACTTTAGCTTTGGTCTCTCACTGTCAACAAACAATGCAGCCTTTGTGACAGCAGCTAAATCTGGACAGCCCGGCCACAACGAAATGTATCACCGTCACAGATTTTTTTTTTTTTAGCAGGAGGGAGTCATTCGTTGCGTCCCGGAGAGCTCGAGCTCACTGATGTCGCAGCAGCTTCTCTTCAATGCGCCGTCTGGTAACTGAGCGAGCCGCTTCCGGTTTGGGGTCGGGTTGAGTGTGACGCAGCAGACGAGCCCACTCTCTCGCGCATGCGCACAGCTTCATTTTTTAAGCAAATCAATGGCAGCGGATGGGAATGTGTTAGTTTCTAATGGCACGCATTTCTAGCTCTACCTTTGTAATTTTAGTTTTTTTTAATTTATGTCTCTGAAAGGAATTAGAGGTTGCGTTGAATGCATTAGATTAAAATGGGGTCTGTGACTGAAGTCTAGGCTAGGTTTATCAGTGGTGTGAGTCATTAACCTAAAGTCCAACAAGGCATACTTTTCCAAATGTGCTACACAAATTCATTATAGTATACAAATACTTGGGTTGTTTACCTAAAGGGACATATACTGGAAAAACTAAAACTTCCCTTGAACATGATTTTTTCCCCCACAAATGGACTTCTTTTTTACCACTTAATCTGTTTCTAATTAACCTTCACATCTGTAAAAAGAGACATCCAAAATATATATCCACAGTTTATTTTGACAATAAGGCAAACATACACATAAAGGTGCAATCCCATGCTGAAGGTATTTTCCAACTAATCATTCAACGCAATCTACTTGCGAATCGTACAGCCTAAGACCGTAAAAAGCTACAAAAAACTCCAGACGACTACAGCACGCTAACAGCGTGTTCACCAAAGTACTGGTTAAATATCTCCGGGTGTGCTTGATAGAACTGTCTGAGTAGCCGCTTTCTCTCCTTGGCAGAGATCTTTGGGTTCTGATGGATGCCGCCCAGAAGAATCCGCAGCTCCTCGTTGGTGGTCTTCTTCGTAGACTCGTTGTAAGCCCCGTGAGAGACCGGCTGGCAGAATGTGAAGCCTGAATTCCAGAGAAGAAGAAAAAACAAGCAAAAGAAAAAGTGTAGACATGGAGGGAGGCTTAAGAGTACACGTTCTGCAACCATGAACGTTCGATTCGGTTATCAGTGACCACATAACGTAGTCATAAGAAAAATGTTGAACAAGCAAATGTCCTCTTACAAACCCAGGCCACTTACCAAATGGTACAACACCAGCATTTCATTTCCTGACCAGCTCAGATTTATAGTAAATATATATATTTCTCAGCTTAATTTTGGTCTCCACCAACTCCTGAGGGGAATATCTGCTTCTAAATACTCAAGAGACAGTGAGACCCTTCTTGTGGCACTTGCAGAATGTCATCTTTTTCTCTCAAGTTAAAACAATTTTTTTTCGTAAAGCGGAAGCTGGTGGGTAGGTCGGGTACCAGACGAGTGTCGCTGTTGTGATGCCTGACTGAAGACTGACACGCAAAAAAAGAAAAAGTATATTAAGGTAACGTATTGTGATAGTCTACAAACATGACATTAATAAGAGCTCTATACTTAGGCGAGGGTTTGCATCTTAAAAGAAAATATTGCAATCTGGGCTCCCGTACCTCAGATCAGTGAAGCAAGAAGTCGTGACCGATTACAAATGTAACGAGACACAGGTTAGTATCGACTTGATCAACTAAAATATCAGATTAATATGAGTCATTATGCACATACGTATGATACACATGATGTAATGATAAATACATGCATGGCTCCACCAATGTGTGGATCTATTCTAACGAATCAGAACAGTGTTTTAGTGTTACCGGTCACATCGGGCTGCTTCCCCTGTGCCAGGCTGGCCAGCTTTTCGCTCACTCCTTTGTGCAGGGTCCCCGGTATCTGGAGCAAAGAGAATAATAAAATCTTGGTGGCAAATTACTCAATGGACAGGAAAACACTGTTCACTGTGGAGATCGACCTGTCAAATTGAATTTTTAAATCAAGGTTCCGACTTAGTTATTTTCCCCTGAAGCCCTTGCGCAACAGTCTTGAGGCAACGTTTTCTTCATTACTACAATTTGAGCAATTTGTTCATGCAACAATGAGTTACAAAACCACTGAATGTAAATAGCTCAAACAAACATCAGCCCTTGAACCAAAAAAGTAAATTCAAGGCCAGAATCTGGTTTGCAGTTTGAGGAGAACAGAGTTTTATAACCTGAAGTACTGATAAAATACTGTTTTTTTTAATGTGTGTGTTAATCTACATAGTCCATCTTCCCACTCACCTTTAAAAATGAGAAGAAACTAATCTGAACCTTTAGTTAAACCAGGTTCAAGGATGTTAATCAATTTATTGCATTTCACTAATGAGTTTTATTTCTTAAAGAGCACTGCAATGATTTTTGTTTGATGTTGCAGTCTTCTCCTTGTCTTTTGCCTTATGCTCACATGAGGCACTTTTAATTACCTTGTTGTTGAAATGTGCTATACAAATAAAGTTGCCTCGGCCGGACCTTAAAAATGTCCTTTATGTTGCTGAGCAAGAAGACCACCATCAGGTCCTCCTTCTCCTTTGAAAGAACCCTGCTGTGGAGGACTGCCCTGGAGAAAGACCTCTTCACCGCCTGTCTGTTCTCCATCTACAGGTTAAACAGCACATTGCTAATGTTAAATTACAGAAACAATCAGGCCCTATTTTTGCCGCCTCCTTTTCTACCTTAAAAAGACAGGAGGGGGAAAGCAGTGATGAAGTTCAGAAATCTTCTGTTGGACATAAAAACAAGAAAGCATTTTCCAACATAACATTTAGTCCCCTGCCCTCACCTCCTTATCCAGTTTCATCCCTTGCGGGTCTGCTGCCAGAGCCATGAACGTGAGCAGCGCGCACAGCTCATCTCTGTGGCCCGGAGGAAGCAGCTTCAGGCACAACTGCAGCGCTTCAAGAGCCGTGGACAGTTTAGCGTTCACTAAGGAAGAAGACGCACAAATGGAATTGAATATCAGTAAGAACGTCTGTCTGCGGATTCCCTCTTTACTAAAGAGCCTTTTCAGGGATGTTTTCTGCAACCATTTAGCTGGAATGACAGAGAGGAATCATGCCAAACACTGATAAGTTTCTCCTTGTGGAAGGTGCTCCAACTTCTCCATTGTACGTTACGTGCTTTGACAAACTGCTCAGAGAACAAAAAGTTAGTAAAAAAGGATGAACACCGTTGTTGTGACGTCACCCATTTGTCGATTTGTGGTAGAGACCCTGTATATGGCTCTGGTCGCAGCAGCGCCCTGTCAATCACAGAGAAGCCCCGCCCTAAAGCACACCCTGCTTTATGCTCTACTTGAAATTAGAGATGGAGACAATAAACTCATGTTTCATAATGTTTACTGGCGAAATTAGTCAAGTGAGAAGAGACCGTGTGCACTTCACAATTTGCGAACCGCAGGTCGCCGCCTGATTGCAACACACGGGGGGCTTTTACCCAGCAGGTCGGTGATGGCCGTGTAGACGTCGGCCATGTGCTGGGGCAGCAGCGGAGGTCGGTCTGTGTGGCCGTAGTGTTTCGCCAGAGTCCCGTACAGCAGCCGCTTGCAGTGGGCCTGCCCGCTCGAGGAGAGACGCGGCCGCTCGTAGATGTGGCGGACTTGAGTGGACATGGACCTCGGAGGCTGCACTGAAGTCAGAAAGGCAGATTGATCACAAATACAAGTAGCGGCACTAGGCGTTGCCCCCCCCATAGTCATCAGAGAACTTGCCTCCGTCTTGTGAACCGCTACCAGCTGGCGCTTGGTCACAGCCGTCCTCATCTGGCGGGAAACAGTCAGGCAGCTCCCTGCTCAGTTCCACCACTGGCTGATCAGGCAGGAAGTCCAGACAGTCCAGAGCTGCAATGAGCCACTCGTCCTCCCTGAGGGACAAGGACGAGACCGTAAGCAAAGGCAGGTTTCATTACATAAACTATATATTTGGGGATTAGAAAAGACTGATGCCCCTCTCACGTCTATACTGACTATGAATCGACTTAGCTTCGCGCAAAGACTAGACCTGGGGGAACCGCTAGCCTGCATTTATAGAGGAGGCAGTGGGAGGGGAGTTGATTGTCCAAGCTGGAACGTACTGAGTGTCCCTGAAAGCTTTCAGGATCTGCCGGTCCAGGTGGTTGCTGCTGTAGATCAGGTCCGGGTTACTGTGAGCCAGGAGGTTGGACGGAGGAGGAGGGGATGGAGCCTGGCTGCACTGAAGCACCCCTTCCAGCACGGGGAGCTCCACCAGGTTCAACAGCCGGAGCAGAGTCTGCTCCAGCCACACCTGGTCCACCACTATGGAGCAACAAATATATAAAAATGTATATTCATAAAAATATGTAGATTTTTATATTCCAGGACCAGGCTTTTCACAGAAAAGGGGATTCCCAAATTGCACTACTGTCTACTACTCTGATTCTAATTTTCTGAAAAGGGGCAGTATGCATAATACCCAGGTCTCACTTCATTGATGCTATTAAAATTGCCTGTGCTTCCACTGGTTCTTCTTCCTCTGTGGTGCACTGGTGTCCGACCAGGGTGTTGTTTTGTCTCTCAAAGCAGTGCTTTCTGAAAGAGGCGCCCAGCCTTGTGCGCGTCATGTGCATGTGGGTTACAACAGGAGACCACTCATCTGTGCTTCGACTGATCAAGATGGCGCCTTACACGATTGCGGTAAAACGGCGTCCGCCTGCGCCCTGCCGGGGCTGCCGCTGTCTCCCAGAGGCTCTTGTGTCGGGCTGACCGGGGTGGCAGCGTCCACTTTGTTGGCTTTTGTGGACCCCTCAGGTGGTTGGACGGAGGTGGACATCTGAACACGGGGGCTGGTGGGACACGTCTGCTCTGCCTGACTGCAATACAAAAAACGGTGGTGGCCGAGAGCTGACGAAGGAGTCACTTGAAAAAAATCAAGATCCGATTTGGATCCTCCACAAAAAGGACAATGTGCCAATTTTAAAGTTCAGATTAAGTGCGTTGAATGTGAAAACACAGGTGATGTCTCATAAATGTCCACGTCACATCTGCCGCTACTTGCATAACATGCACAGATCTCAAAGAGACTTGAGTTGCATTGTGGGTAATGTGGATGCCAGGTTTTGACAAAGAAGAAGAGTGCAGAAAGAATCCAAAAAAAGAGTGTTAAAGGACTAGAACTGTTCCAATACTCTTACTACTTAGTATGCCAGAAAACAATGGTGTGTCCCAATACGCAGGATATCAAATGCAGCACGACGGAAATGTTCTATGAGATCCGGTCGTCATGGACATTATGTGAGCCACTGCGTTTGTTACTTTTAAAACTGCCCATCTGATAGTACACAGTACACAAAACATTAATGCAAGGCATAATGATACCGACAGCATGCTGTTTTTTTTATTTGATGTAGTTGTGACTAAGCTTGGAAGGATTTCCTCCTGGTACCTTTGTGAAGGTGTGCCGCAAAACAGCTTCTGGATCCCATTGACGAGCACACCTCTTTCCAGGTCGTCGACTGAAGGGGAACACACCCCTGCAAACCTGTGTGTGCAGGAAAAAAAGAACAAAGGAGAACATATCAGCACCGCTTTGGATCATGGCTGAGGAGTGGTTTAGCATGTGTGTGTCACCTGTAAAGAGCACTCCTGCTGTCCTGAAACACATCCCGCTTCTTGACTTTGCCGAACACTCTGGTGCCCACCGCCTCAAACACATTGCAGTCCAACAGGGCCTGGCACACGCACACCACTTTGGCCCGCGACACGATGGCTCCTTAAATTATTACAAAGCAGGAAAACAATGATTTTTAGTGAATTAAAAAAAATATATAATAATAATGATTAGGAGATGTCATGAGTGAAATGGAACCCTCACGTTTAAAATCCATTAGATGTACACATTGCCCAGCACTCACGCACCCTCAATGACTTTGGCACAGCTGATGTGCTCCTCCAACGCGTCGACGGCCTCCGAGCCGAGGAAACAGTCGCCGTGAGACTTGAGGTTGATTCGCCGACGCTTCACAGTCACGGAGGACCGGAGGTGGGAGATGAGGCCGCTCCACACGCACGAGGACTGCGCCGGTCTGCTGGCGGCTCCACGCGCTGCAACGAGGGTCAGAGGAGGTCGCGTTGGAGTGAGGAAACTAAGATGGGGAACTCATTTACTAACTATAAAACGACAGTAGCAACTCACTACTACTCTGAAGGCCGACAACAACCTTTATTGATTTATTTTAATTAACGTCAATTAAGGGGAAATTAACAGGCCTCCGTGACAGACACCTATCCTCTGGGTAACTCACCTGGAGGACGCACACACAACTTCTCGGCGAGGTTTAGCGCCGCTGCTCTTTCTTTAATTGTCGCCATGTCTACCGAACAAGAGGTGCGGTAAACGCTTGTACGCGGGCAGACGAGCGGGAGAAAGCAGCCGGCGAAGACGAGCACGTCAAGGCACGGGCTCATTCGGCGTAGGCGAAACTTTAACATTCACCCGCTAGATGGCGCCAATGGCTCACTGAGGGCGCGCTGCTTTAACGGCGGGTCTCTGCGGCCGCTGTATCTGCTGCGCTTCATATTTTAATCTGGACACTGCTGCCTTCACTTATTTGTGTGGTTGTCGATTATTTTATCGTTTCGTTTAAACGGAATACATGATGCTATAATTATGTTGCATATAATTTGGGACCAACAGCCCGGAGCAGCGCATATCAGATTCCCCATCTGGTGGTTGGTTGTGTGTACATTTAAGTCAAATTAAGTTTTAATTTGCCGTCCAATTCTGACGTTTTACTGACCTCCAGTGTGCTGGTGCTGCAAAATAAGAGCAAAAGGAGAAAACATGTAATTTCCCCAAGAGTGCAGAGACTTCATGAAAACTGAACGTTTGCATGGTCTTTTTTAAAATCAGTTAAACTAACAGAAAAATACGTAATTAATTGAAGGACAGGATTGAATTTGCAATGTTGCCATTTGTGTTTAAACCAAATGCCGCGTCATCTCTTGCAACGGCCGCTGTCGTTAACGTCAAGAAGAACATGAGCCTCTGCTGACGTCATGCCCGCTGTTGAGAACCGTCTTAACGTTATTTGGGGATCCGTTGCTCGCTGGGCTAAATAACCTTACAAAGGTAACGTGGCAATATTAGCAAACCGAGACGTTACCAGACTAAGTCTCTTAAACGTGTATTTGAAAACAACATTATCTCAAAATGATTTAACAAACTTTACGTTTTGTTAACTAATTGAGGGCTCATGCTAACGTTAGCCTAGTTGACATTTCATTGTAGGGTTAGCTCGCTAGCATTACGTTAGCGTTTGGTTTAGGCTAGCAAGAGTTTTGGCTAATATTTAGGTCTGGTGACTATTCCAATTTAAGCTGGCTTTTATTTAATTTAAAGTTGAGTAATCAGTTGGATGACTTGAGTTAAAGAAAATACCCTAACACCATACCAAATTTAACGTTATTTGAAATGCAACTAACGTTACGTTAATGAACTCTGACTTAAGAGGGGTTTAGCTAAGGTGTTAGCATTGCTAAAGCCTTTTATCAACACTTGGGAACCGTTTTTTTAAAAAGTAAAAAAACTCAACTCAAACAATTTTAAATAATATTGAAGATAATTAAGTAAAGTTTGTTCCTCAGCATTTAAAAACAAAGAACTTTCTAAAGAAAAATACAGTATTTACAATTGGCTTAATATTTGCCTTGAACAGTAAATACTTGCATTATGGTCAGGAAATGGGCTGTATTATGTGGTCTTTAATGATACATCAAATGTCAAAAACCAACACCAGTGTGCTGTGTAGGCTAATAAGCTGTTTTCAAGCCAGACTTAATAATAGATATTTTCTTGCCGTAGTGGTAAAAAGCACAGGCGTTACTAATAACATGCACAATACTACAACTGAAATTCATCCATTTCCATTTATTTTCAAACCCCTGCTTTCCCTACTGTAACATGATGAAATGTATCCAGGGGGGAAACTCCTATTGTACTACACTTTACCGTTAGTCTTTGCAGTATTCCGTTTATTATATTGCTGAAACTTGAATAATTGTATTACAATCTTGGGGCTGTGGTTCAACTTTCTTTTCCTCAGTGCATTACGACACAGTAACTAACATAACTCAACAGAAAGGTAATACAGGCGTCATGTGGAGGGCATCTCTTTTAATTTGTCTTTTCATGGCTCAGAGATGGTGGTTAATACCTGCTCAAGTGAAGCACGGCAGGAGCAGAATAAAGACATTGAAGGTCTACTCCCCTAACTCCCAGTCTCACACACACACACACACACACACACACACACACACAGGCACGCAAGACGGACACACACCGTCACTTTGACACACCAGCGCGCGTTTGCACGCCCGCCTCAGCCTGGGGTCACACTGCCATTTTATGATAGTGGCCAATTCTAGCAGGGATCATTTAATCCTCCAACATGATTGAAACCAGCACAGGTTAAATGGGGGAAAAGGTCTGTTCTATTAAGAGATCAGTGGCTAGTGGAGACCTCCCACTTAAATAGTCATATTTCTGTGTGTGCGTGTGTGTGTTTCACTCAGTTTCTTGGTTATGTTGAGGCATTGACCATCCACAGGTCAAATTGAATAACCAAGATAATTTAAAAAGCATTGACAGTGCAATTTGTCCATTCATTGTTATTGCTCTGACCCCTATTAGTGTCAATGGACTGGTTCATTTGAAACCTAGATGGCTTATCAAGGTGTTATCTCCTCTCCGCAATGGACGTGGTGTAAAACAAAGGCAGAAAAAAACCCTAATGGTCATTTCAAAGCCATTTGGTTGGATTGTAGTGATTGAAGAACATTACGAGGCTTTAATGTGCTTGCATATATTTTTTTAATAAAATCATTTAGCAGTAAAAAACTGCAGATGAGGAAGTAATTATAAGCATGCGAGTGGAAAGGCAGAGTGTTAGCGCTTATTAAATAGCCAATTCTGTTAACCACTTTCAACTAAACGTTCTTTTTCTTTTTTGATTAACAGGCAGCAGAGGCCCGCTGGGACCTTGGCCTGCTCTGCAACAACTCGATGGATCTCCGCGTTGACTCCGGGACCCTCCCCGCGCACACCGCCGTAACTTACCACTTCTGACAACAGAGGACAAAGCAGAGAACATTCACCAGCTCATTTGTTTATTTAGTTTAGGAGTAGATCTAAACGGAAAACCTTTCATATAAATAACTCCTGGGTATTTGTTTGGTTATCAGATATAAAACAATGGAATATGTGTTGTTTCTGTGGCAGAACAGTTCACTCTTTGTGGAAAACACGTTAGCAAATTGTATGCAGGTGGAAATTCATTTTTAACACCTTTTCCCTACATTCTCACCACGTGACCCAATTTTGCACCGTTTAGAATTCCCAATGTCACCACTAACTGAGTATTCGAGTAGCTGAATTAGAAGAACACACTTTTCTTTCGCAGGTAGGAAGCACTGCGATGGAGGAGGAGCTGTCTCTGTCTAACGCTCGCTGTCAAACACAGGGTGGAGGCACCATCTTGCTGCAGTTGCTGGAATTTAAAACCCATCTACTTGAGACTTTCGAGGAGCTGCACATCCGGAGGGTACGGAAGCATTTTGTAACATTTGCTGTCAGTGTGCAACCTTTTAAACTGATTCAGCATCGCCAAAGTAACGCTTCTCTGGAGTAACGCTCTTAAGTCTCTGATGATTTTACATAATGTGATAACCAGTAGGTGTCCCAACACTGGAGACTGTTGTCCCTCGAGACGATGCTGCGTACGTGTGTGTGTGTGTGGCGCCAATTGTCACTCCTCCCAGTTGCACTGGTTGTGATCAGTTCACCAAAAGCAGATTGTTCCCTCGTTTTATTTACCTTTCTTTTCAAAACTAAAATGTAACCCTGCTTTAATGTTTTTGTCCGTATTTTTTGCAGGCATTGCTCGTGTCACTGTTAACTAGTGTGTAGAACTTACTTTGGCGTTAGAGCAGCGTGACTTCATTGAGGAGGAAGCGGCCAGCTGGCTCTGTCGGCCACCTTCATGAGAGCCAGCTAGGTTTGATGCACATTGCATCATGATGGGGGTCACTAAAAGCCATTTGACCCCCTGACCAATAAGTAGGAGGTAAATTTGTTCGTAAAAGTAACAAAAATGCAGCCTAGCCTCCAGCAAGTACTTCCAATCCGGACGACAGAGAGTGTGCTCAATGGTTAGGCAAGTGGGGATTGGATGTTGGTGGTTTGTTGCCGTTTTAGTTTTTATTGTTATGGTCGTGTTAACTGGTCCACGAGCATGAGATGGTGTTTCGGCGTGATCCTCCTCGGGCGCCGCCAAGTAGCGTTTTGTAGTTTGGTCGTGCTGGGGTGAGAGATTGAGTAGCGAGAGAATGTCGCGACGCTGCCGGACATTCCTGAGCGGGTCAAATTCCAACGGCTTAGTTTTCTCTAATTTTTTCTCTTTCTAGTGAGATTGTGGCACAATGATCGACTTAAATGGGAAGGCACTTGATGCAGGAGAAGATAATGTGGCAGTGTGAGCTTAGTGAAGACACAGGTCATCACAGCAAAAACTTCAGCTGTGACTAACTTCTTTCAGCTGGACTATCAAATATTCATAACCAAATACCCTTTTTAAGGCCTCCATTCAAAACACCAATAAAGTGATAAAGTTACAAAAAGGTCATGGAAAAGGTAGTTAGTAAGTTAGTTGTTGTAATATTGTAGATTACAATTTGATTAAATATTATTTTTTTAGTACCCTCAGCTCTTGCAGTTGTGGATTTCAAATTTGTGATTGATAAAACTTTCTAGTGTTGTTTTAAACTCTAAACAAACCCACTCTCTCTCACACACACACACACACCAATAATGATTCCTGACCTTTATCTCCTGTGCACTCACACTCTTCTCCTTTTTTTTAAGGGCACCGCCTTGCTGGTATGATAGTTTAATTGGAACATATAAGAAAACGTAGTGAGTTAACCAGCTCCCACGTGCACATAAAAAAGTCCCGTGGTTATATAGAGAGCAATTGACTTTTACCTGCCTTCTCCCTGGGAAGAGGGAGGATAGGGATGGCTTTCCACAAATATCACCTCCCCTCTAATGTTCCCCTTTCTCTGCATGCTCCTACAAAAAGATACGGGGAGATGCACCGGGGAAATTTGCTCCATTTGCAGTTCTGGCTCAACTCCAACCGATTTCTCAGCTCAAATCGCCCCGTGCCAGCCTCCATCGCCGCATCTAATGTCACTGTGGCGTTATTTCATTTAGCAGGGCCCTGCATGTCTGATGATGAATTACTCCTTACGCAGCGTGCGTGATTGGATGTTTGAGTATCGGCCGTGACGTAAACGTTGTTTCAGGATGCAGAGGCGCGCTTTGAGGATCAGATCAGTAAACTGGTGTTGGAGAAACAGGAGCTGGAGTGGGAGACGGTATGGCCGGCTGGATATTCTCACACAACACACAGCTTATTTTGATACGGTGTGGTGTGTTGATCAACTCTCTCCTGTGTGACAGGAGTCCCTGCAACATCAAATGGAAATGTTGTCAAACCAGCACTCAGAGTCACTGGTCAGTGTTAAGAAGCAGGTATGTTTTTACCGTCAGGTTTGCCGTTTTCATATCTAAACAAAGGCGTTTAGCCATTCATTAAAATCCCTCTCAACAAATGTCTCTCTTCAAGCTTCAGGCCAACATAACAAACATTGAGGAGGAAAAGGTATGAAGGGCTTGTTCCCCAAATCATTCAAGGTTATTCAATTCATGTTTTTAGGAGTAGTGTACTGACTCATTTCCGTTGTCCCGTCTTTTTGTGATGCCCTTTGGTATTTTAACACTCCCAGTGATAATCGTACTATTTCAGGGGAAGTACCAGATCAGTGCTGAGTTAAAAGACAAGGAGATAAACAACCTGAAAGAGAAGCTGAAGTCGCTACAGGTACTGAGACGTGTAACACACACACAGCCTCCCCTCTCTGGCTCTGCAACACACGCATCAACCCTCCCACTCCTCCCATCACTTTCCTTTCTCCCTTTTTCTTTCTCAAAAACCAGAGAAAAAAAGTTTTCAAAGGGAGAAGTAAATAAAGGAAGCTCATGCCCAACCAAGTCAGGGGCTCGGGAGGGGAGGGGGGGGGTCGTTGGAGCCCGGCTGGTCTTCAGACTCGACACCCCAGAAGTGATATACAGCCGTCCCCACGGGCCGCTGCACATTAACAACCCGCCGCCTCAGAGACAACGGAGGGTGTTTTTGATATTCTATCCGGGAGACACTGGCTGGTGTTTTTGGTCACGCGAGGCCGGTCCTCTGCTAATTCACGCGACGCGGTCTGCTGGGCTCCCTTTTAATTTAACACACTTTAACTTCAGTGGCGGTTGAGATTGAGGAGATTTAATTGCCACATCTTGACGATCTGCTAAATTGCAAATTTGAGCTCTGGAACAATATGGCCTGACTAATTACACTTATAAATAAATCATCACGGCAGTGCGATTTAATCTCTGTAAATGAGCTGATATTTTCTACAACTATAATTACGTTCAATATCAAACAAATTAGGCCCACAAGTAAGCCGATTTGCTCAACATGACCCCTTTAAGACATTAAACACATTGTATGGAAAACTGCCACATAATTCTTGTTCAAGCTTCTCCAATGTGACAATTATCATTGGTATTTGTGGTTGGTTGGACGAAACATGATATTTGAATCGCTTAGAGACTGTGGACACGTAACGACTCAATGTCAACTAAATGGTTAATCAGATAATAAAAATGAGATAAACACGTCAATCAATCCTGAGCAAAATCGTTAGTTGCATCTTTGGATCAATGAGGGATGAGGGAGCACATTTTCATTTAATACTAGACAAAGATACCATATTCCTAGGTTAGCTTTTTTAAAGGTTATATTGTGGATATTTGTTGCCCTCTGAACACTTTGAGGCATAGGTGTCGTGCGCCCCTCCCCCCGCACTGTAGATCGCCATGACTTGGTTGATTGACAAGTAGCTCGCAAGCCGAAAAAGTGTGGGCACCCCTGCGTTAGACCCTTTCGATCACGGTGTCCCTGCAGGCAGCAGCGCTCGCTTGAAAATAATGTTCATTCTTGCCCTGCTATATTGAGTAAATGTGTGGAAAATATTACTGCTCATTTTTTTTAATCCCAAAAGTAAGTTGAAAAGCCTTTTTGATCTATGATTTTTTCTTTTTCTGCTGTTTCACAGTTACTGAAGTACAACTTGGAGAAGAGATCCAATGAGCTGGTGAGGAGGGATTTTCCTCTGCAGACTGTTGATAGAGGATCGGTGGGAGTGAGAAAAATTAAGAGGAGGGCGACGGGACGGTGCTAAGGAGGGAAGAGATCATCAGGAGTAACGGATGGGGAGTGCGCGACACTTTGAACTGCCAGCCACAGCAGAGAAAATATCTCTATTAAAATGTTTTATAACCGGGCCTCGCTCGGCTGAGCCCTCTTCACATAACAGTGGCTCTGCCGCACAGGAGGGAGACGACCAAGTCAGGAGAGGGGAGCGGGGCAAACAAAGCATCCGCTCAGCTTGATACAGACGATCAAACCAAAATGGCAGTTTGAGGAGCAATAAAGCGCTGTGAGGCATGTCTTCACTTTATTTCCTTCATCCCGCAGAAAAAGACAAAGCTGATCCTCGTCGAACCGCGAGCCCCTCAGTTCTCGGACATCACTTTGCCTCCTCTTGTTCTGCACCCGCCTTTTAAATCTTGTGTTGCTGTGATGTGAAAAAGAAGATCAGTACTACTTCGATGTCTGTGTGCGGAGCTAGCGCTAGCAGCCAGTTAGCTTAGCTTGTGTGAGAGACTGAGAGTAGGGGGAAACGGCTAGCCTGACTGTTTTTATTGTTAAAACAAATCAAATTGGTACTCTCACTCATTTACACGCTAAATAAGGTTTGTTTCATTCTTATTGATTACAAAGTTTTGCAATTTTGCGATTATACGACACAGCGTTTTGGCGGTGACTTCCTGGAGCCTTGACACCACTTGTGTTCCCTTGTGATCCAGGCAGCCTCTGTGTTTCCCTTTGCTTGTGGTGGTCATGCTAGCCCAAGCTAACAGCTACTGGCAGCAGATTAGAAGCAGCATTAGTCTCGTCATCAAACGATATGTTAAACCATCACTGTAGGAAAAGAAACATTTTTGACTTTTTTCAAAAATGATTTTTTTCTCATTTCTCTTTGTAAACCTCCATTCACCGCTCCCATTTATCACTCCATTCATCCCCGCCACGCTTCTCCCGTAAGAACATATTGCTGTATTGTTTTTTCCTGTTCTCCAGACTTGCGAGTCAAACACTGTCCGGCACTGATGATCTTTCTTTTGTCCGGGGAGAAGGAGCTCATGTCGTTGTGTGTCGTTGACTTGATCTTCCCCACAGGGGCAGAAATTGACCTTGCAGAGCCGGACAAAGGAAAGCCACTTGAATCAGATGGGCGAGGTGGAGAAACGCTTCAGCGCTCTCTCCAGGCAGTGTGCCATGGTCAAGCAGGCCCACGAGAAACTAGAACAAAACGGTAATTAATTACTGGATGGATGAGTATGCGCCTCCCCATGCACAGTCTATGATACACAGTGTATAGATGCTCCCTCTCTGGGCAAAGCTGAAGTTTCCAGGTTAATAGTGACCCAGAGCAGCCTGAATGTAACAAGGTGTTGGAAACAACTCAAGGAGATCTCGACCTCGGCTATTTTAAATGAGTCCCGTAGAGCGCTGTGTACAGTGTTAAAGTGGCATCGGCTCGCTATTGTTGTCAAGACATGACCAGCGGCAATTACACTGTCAGCGCAATTAATTTAAAAACGCATTTATCTCTAATCTCGTAACTCACGATGTCCCCTCTATGTAAAGGGTTGATTCAGGTATGCAGTTGGCTCATTCTGTATAGAAATAGCAAAGTTATAGTTGCTTATCCTGTCTTCCCCTTACTTTCAGTAATGTAAGTCAGTATGTCCCATGGTCTCTCACCGTGTGTAATTCTTACAGTGGAGGAGGCCTTGAAAATAATAAAGAAGCTGACTGCCGCAAATGAAAAACAAGAAGCCACCATTGCGTCACTGACGAAGGTTTGTGAAAAAGTCCAACAACATCAGGAATTATCTGAGGTAAACTGTCGAGGCGTCTGTTTTCATATAGCAGATTGTGGGTCAGCCGAAATGCTGTTTACACCCTCCGTGACTTTCTCAGGCTCCATCACAGCCAATAAATGTCTGTGGTATCCTAAGAATTACAAAACAGAAATAAAATTGTCAGTATTTAACCAGATTATTGTTGTTATTGTATGTTGCTTTCTCAGGAGTTGGAGGAGATCAGTCACGAGCTGATCAAGGCCAAGATGACGTCAGTCAGACGGGACGAGGCCCGCGGTGCCGCAGGCAGAGAGCAGCACTGCGAGCAGCTGCACCACCAACTGAACCTGGTAAAGAACGAGCCGTAAACGGGATACTCATTCAAAATAAACAAAATAATGCTTGTTTTTCATACATTTCTGTTGCTTGTTCAGGAAACTGAAATGAACAAAAAACTCTGTGAGGAAAATGTGGCTGTGAGAGCAGAAAAGCTGGTAAGAAACGAGCAGACCGGTAGAAGGTCATTTGTGACCACTCCATTAAACTTGATCATATCTTATTTTCCCTTTTGAGGGTCACAATGACACTGACACACTGGAAGAAAGTGTCAATGGAAGTGTGCCGTTGTTCTGACTCCCTGGTGGATACCTGTTTTTTGCTCAGGAACTGATGAGCTGTCTGCAGCACACGCAGCAGCTTCTGCTGAGTCAGACGCAGACGGTGCGCAGGGTGGAGCAGCAGCTGCACACTCTGAGGGAGCAGCACCAGGTGAGACTCTGCTGGTTTAAGGACACAGCTGTTGAAAAAGTCCCTGTGCTGGCCCATTTCAACTCATTGATTTGTATTGCTTTAGCAGAGTCAGACCTGTGAAGAACAATGGAAGGATTTAAACATAGCGGGGAAAAAATTGTGAAAATTCACAATTATTAGTCTCTGGGAATTTTCTTTTGTTCTTTTTAAAGCAAAGCAGGATGTTAGTAGACCGATGTTAGGGAATAAAAGAATTAAAGCAGACCGTAAAAAAGGAGTTAATCTCAAAGAACCACTCAGCTGTACGAATAAACAATGTTTTCTGTCACCTTTTGTGCTGGTAAAGCATGAGACGGTGGTGTGTTCATCCAGGCTTTCTGTCCAAGCTGAGATAACCCTGATGACATCACAAAGACGGCATCTTTTTTTGGACAAATTCTCTCTCAGAAGCCATTACTCAGTAGTTTGTACAGTTGTTTAATATTATTGATTTTGACGTGTAATATCAGTGTCCCTTTAACAATCCAAAATAGGAAAAAAAAACGATTATTGTGACATAACAGTAGCAGGTTTGAGTTGAAGTAATGAATTACATTCAGTTGTGTATCTGCAACAGTGCCATTTTTTGGCAAAAATAATAATTAAACTGTTATGCTTAACGTCATTGTACCAAAGCATCATATGAATACCGGCATTTACCTTAATAAACAAGACCAGACCAACAGCTGGATATTACAACCATTTGTCTCCTAAAAAACACCTTTAGTCACATACTGAGGAGACTTATTATCTGATTATCTTCCAAACACAACGGCCCCTGCAGCACCCGTTGGCCCCGTGCGGATCAGTAGTTCGTCGCGTTCTATTTAAATGCTTACGGGGTGAATTTACACAATAAGATAAATAAATGAATGCTGTGGTTTCTCTTCATAAACGTGATGAATGCGGTGTTGTACATCACAGAATATACATTAGTGAATGTGATCCCTTCCGCAACTGAATGATAGTGTGTTTATTCTCCATTTATGGCTTCACAGTTTATCACTCACCTTTCTTCTCTCCCTGCCCCCCTTTTCAAATTTTCTTTTAATTCGCCCATTTCCTTCATTTATTAAAATCATTATTAAAATGACACAAGCCAACTGATTTGTACTAGCGAGAAGTGTTCGCTCTCCGTTTCTCGCCACTCTGTTTAAGACCCTCTGTTCACCTTAAATAAACACATAAAAATTTAGTATTGCATTAAAAATCCCACGGGTGATTAATTTTACTGCAGGCCCTTAAGCGAGAACAGAGGGCGATGAGAGAGAGGAGCCAGGCGGCGGAAGACGAGGTGGCTCGACTGATGGAGAGCGACGGCGCGTCCAAGCACAGCTGGGACAAAGAGGTAGGAGACCGCAGTGAGAGGGAAGCCAGGGCAGCGCTGACATTTTTCAAAAAAACCTCGATGTTTGAACAGAAGGCGGTGTTTCTGGAACGCATCGAGGGCGAGCAGCAGCAGCTTCGCGCGGTGAAGGAGGCTCACGAGGAGCTCCGTCGGGAACACGCCGAACTGTCCTCGCAGGCCAAAGTGCATGCTCAGCATATATGTGAATCGCAGGTTAGAGACACGCACGCACGGTGGATTCAAAACACACAGGTATCGGTAATGTTACCACAAATACACAAAGCTCTTTTATTGTTATCCTTAAAAATCTGAAAGTAATTACTGATCGTACCTTAACTGTGACCTACTGAACTTTGGTTTATTTATTTATTTTAATCTGCATGCCCCAAGCAGATGCAGGTCCCCTCTGCATACAACACCCACAAGAAGTATTGGCTTGATAATATTCCACAACTACAGTGAAATGAGGGAGTCCAACAAGTCCATATTGATTAAGTGCTGTTTTCAGTTTGAAAGCCGTTTTGTTTTATTAAACAATACTTCCAGATTTTTGAAATATTAGGTTCAGATGGAAAGTACTAAGCGGTCCAGCATGACCTGTTAAAAGTTCAGCAATAGATTAGCCCGAAGTTCATAACAACATGGAGCAAATCTGGGAATAAATGTAAAAAGCAGGCGACTGTATTTCTCCACTCAGATGAGTGGCGGCGTTCCTCCAGAGGGCATCAGATGGAAGGGAACTCTTAACGAACCCGTGTTTGGCAGTCTGCAGCACTTGGCCTCCTCTCACACACACAGTCCAGACCGTCTGGAGGACATGAGGGTCGCGGCTGAGCGAGATGCCACTGGAGCATCTGGAGGTCAGCCAACTAAACATAAACACACAGCACATAGACCTATACTCCTAGAAAAGAAGTTAACTGACAGACTACAAGTTCTATTCATGATGCTGTGATGATTTTTTTTTTTCAACAGAATCAACCGTTCTAAGCTACGGCCATGTGTCTGTCGATGGATCCTCAGGCTGGATGAGCTTAGGACAGAGTGATGAACGGACCGGAGGGACGGGGGAGAGGGAGCAGAGCTGGAAAGACGATGCGGGACAGGTAGAAAACGACAGAGACGAGGGAGAAGGACACCAGGAGCTGCAATTGAACGGAGAGCGACACGATGCGAAGGAAGGAGGCAGCGTAGGGGCTCAAGCTGCAGACGGAGTAGAGGAGATCCTCGGGTCAGGGCAGGAACCCGAACGGCCTGAAACAGGAACAACAGGGACGTGCTTGGTGGGGGAGGGAGGAAAGACAAGGTGGCAGGCAGCAGAAACCCCGCTAGCGGCCCAGACGCCCGCCGGTAGGACCACAGGCCAGAGCGCCGCGCAGCAGGTTGACGACCTCCCGGCCGACTGCGGCGCGGAGTCCGACTCCAGCCGCCCGGGTGAACGATACGAGACGCCCTCGGCCCTGTGCTGCTCCGATCGGGGGCCAAACCGCGTCGTCCGAGAGGGGCAAAGCCTTCGGTGTGATGAGGTCATCCCCTTTGCCAAGTCAGTTACTCCGATTTATCTCGTTAGAGAGAAAACGGAAGCCGATTTGTCAACCAAACTTTCTGGACCTCCGAATCAGTCTGACGTTTGCAGCTCACAGATCGACGGCGCATCAGCGGCTCAGTCGGACGGTGGTAGTCTCCCCAAGTCAGGGACAACACAACCTCAACCAGGTGATCCTTCAGACATCAGGCAAACCGCTGCAGAACCCTACGAACTGAGTGGTCAGCTGACCTCCCCGTGGGCCGATGACGACGGTGGTACAGGGGCCCTCACGGACAGGGAGGGTCAGTCAAGCGTTGACGCACGAGAAAATGAAAACAGCGAGAAGGACGACTGTGCCGACGCAGCGATGGACACTGCCGACCTTGAGACTGGCAGCAGTCCGGAGCAAATGGCGACCAACGAAATGGACGATGCCGGAGAGGCGATGACGAGCACAGCCGGCGCACAGCCGTCAGTCCGCCCACGTCAGCAGGGCGATGCGTCGCTGGAGGCTGCCGCCGCGGAAAGCTACGACTGCTCTCCTGCCAAAGAGACGCCGGACGGTGGTACAAACCAGTCCCCTCTGCTCGGGTCGTCATCTGCCCAGAGAAGAGCGGAGCTCTCCACAGATGAGGCACATGCGTCCTTCCTGCATCCGTTTGTTCAGGTTCCGTAGTTGTTCAAACACACACAGCATATGATTAGCATTCAGTGGCATTCGAGAGAGTATTTCTTCGTCTCCGCAGTACTGTCCTCTTCAATGTCTGTGGGGACATTTGACAGCTTTATTACTTTGTGTTCAGAACAAACTACAGGTATATTTTATTTTTGCATTCGGTTGACCTTCAAAACCATATAATGTATTTGTGCAGAGTCAGTTAGATTAAACATCCATCACAAAACGATGAATGAATATGTGAGCCGTGGACACCGCAGATGATGTATTGTTATTTCTGTCTTTGTCTTTTAACACAGCGGCGTGTATGCACGATACCTGCGTTCCTCAAAAGCAAGCCCGACAAAGGTGACGCCGGCATTCGTGCCGTTATGCAACATAGGTGATGCACAACTGTTTCAAACCGTCATAAATGATCAGTCATCTCTCGCCCTCCCTCACCTCATTCCTCCCAGTCCCCTTTGAGGTTACCAGAGCGTCGGCTCTGCTGGGGGCCTCCGGCGTCTCTGGGTCCGTCGCTTCCTCACCGAGGCGCCCGGGAGAGACAGCGGCGGCAGACCCGGTGAGTGACAGAACCCGTAGAGGAGTAGGGAAGCGGCTCTCGTGGGACAAAGTGTTAGCACGGCAACACATGTGGAGCGATCTTTAGCTGCACGCTGATCCCGTTATTACAGGTCAGAGGTCACTCAGCACCGAGGATTTACAAACCTGCCTACACGCCCCGTGATGAAGGAATGATTTCGGAATACGACCTGAACCTGCAGCAAGTAGGACAAGTCCCATTCACCACAGCAGCCGTGTTCTGCATTACGATGTGACGCCCCCAGCATGATAAAATATCTTCTCTAACAAAGAAGTTGGCTCAAAGTCATCACCCCTGTCCCACTTTATTCCGGCGTTTCCCAAATGCTGTCCCGAGTGGACGCCGGGGGGGGGGGGATTAGTGCTGCGGCTCCGAGCGGGCTCCTGGACGGGCCAATGGCCGATGTTCCCGTCGGGTGTCGAGCGAAGGCGCGGAGCCGACAGCCAGACAGACAGAGGACGAACGAGCTGCGACAGAGGGTCTCCCTAATGGCGCTCGGTGTACCGCCCCTCCTCTCTCACTCACTCCGTCACTATCCATCCCCTCAGCCCCTCTGCCTCTCACTTCATCATCGCTCTGCCCTGCTCGTTTTTTTTTCTTTTTCTTCACTCTCGCACACTCTCGCTCTCTCCTTTGTTACCATCACCGCAAACGGCCACTCTTCGTTTTTATCAGATCCAGGTGCCGGCAATTGAGGGAGATGGAGCGCACCGGGCCTCGAGGGAAAAAAAAAAAAGGCCAGTCCGATGGTTGAACAAATTGTAGCGAGGGCCAAAGCTTTTATTTTGTCTGAACACTGGGAACGTCACCCAGAGTTCAGACCGGGCCTGACTGCCTTCTCAGATGTCTGAACTTTGTGCTCTTTGGTGTCGTTTGTGCACAGGAGAGCAGAGCTTCGGTGTCCGCCGCTTCTTTTCCAGTTAGCAGACTCACCAGATCCAGATCAGGGTGAGTCCTTTTAATAGAGCAGGTGCTTATTTGAAAACAGAGATCATGATCAAACTATCTTTTTTATTTAACCACTGCTAATACGCAGCTATCGGTAGTAGCAGGCTGAATGACTGTGATAATTTGTCTCCATTTTGCACTATTGTACATTGTACAAAAGGTTTTGCCAAGCAGAGGTTATTTTCGTTAGCCAAATAAAGGCTAAAGACTAATTTTAGAGAGTGATTAATGGAGCACACGCGGTGAACAAATCGCAGTGTCTGTATTAATAAAAAACATGAGATATTGACTACAAGCTCCAAAGAACTGTTTTACCGTATTATTTGAACATGACATGAAGGTGATTTAACAATGTCTGTCTACTATCACCAGGTGTAGCAGAGATCCGAACTCAGCTGAAGGGCCCGAGTCCGAGTCCGACAGAGAGTCCCTCTGCTCCCAGGAGAGGGAGGACCAACAGTCATCGTTCAGAGCCCAGATCTCCAAAATCGAGCAGTTCCTCAACACGGAGAAGCTGCGCCTACCCAAAAGAAGAAGAACTGATGACTAAAGGATTAGCACTCCGTATCACCCTGTGCCGTCTAGTTGCTTTCACATCCACTAGAACTGCTTGTTATTGAGATAAGAACCATAGATGTGAAAAAAGATTGTTCGGTTTTGGGCTTAAATCATTGCCTGTTCACAGTAATGTTACAAAAGCATGCATCCATTTAAGTGGAAACGGGTCCTTTCATTCATCGCCATCGTGCAAGAGAACAGGGCAGTGAGTTTTCCATTGGATTTTTAGTTCTGTTGCTAAAGATGTTATGTTAACATGCAGTTGTGTGTGTGTGTTGCAACAGATGCCTTGTCATATTAACAAAAATAAAATATTTGGCTTACATTTGGCAACTCTGTGTCAGTTGTATAAAATCACCTATTTGAGAGAATGCACTTGAATGCACTTATTGTACGTCGCTTTGGATAAAAGCGTCAGCTAAATGACATGTAATGTAATGTAATGTAATGAGAGAGAAAACAAACAGCGCAGCCAACGGGGGAAACGCACTGAAACAACCAAACATCACATGCATTTGGTTTATTAGAATAACGCACACACAGTACGAGGAAGGAGGAAGCACCGCTGTCTGGTACAAAAGGCCCGTAACTGTTAACATGCCAATTAACATCAATTAGCGTCATGGCCAACCAGAGCAGGAGCAGGTGGGCACCATGTTGTGTCTGCTGCTGTTTTTACAACTTGGGACACCTGTCTTTTAACACCTATTAGCATGAATAGAGAGATAGCAATTAGCACCCCACAACCCTAATTAGCAGAAATCAATTAGCGAACCCTGAGACTAATTAACAGACGGCCGACGAGCCTCTCGTTAACTTTATGTTCCCTGTGAGGACGGTGTGTGAGCGCGAGGCAGCTGACACTGCTACATCTGCACAGCTTTGAGAGGGGGGGGCTGCTGCAACAACACCTCTTAATGGAACATGCATTTCAGAATGTGGCTTTTTGTCTTGGTCTGTGTGGCACATTGCACTTTACAATACGTAAACATTATTCTTATGAAAGCTGTGGAATATAGAGTTTAGAGCGCTTTCACAAAACTATTCACAGAGCCTGTGTCACTGTAGCCCTCTCAAGACTATATCTTGTATACAAGTGGGATATATCGGGTTTCTCTGATTGGACATATCAGGGTAAAGGTGTAGGAAAGGGGTCAAAGAGGACTGTCTTTTTGTATAGTATTTACGCCTGTTGGGGACGCTCGTAACGTATGAAAGTCAATTAAAATACTTCCACCGTCATGTTTTCTCAATGCAGCAAATAAAAGAGTGTTCACGGAGATGGCTGCAGAGTGCATCTTCTGCTGAGAGACACAAAGCTGTCTTCGTTAAAACGAGATTCCGCTCACCTTCCTCGATCGACACTTCTTTGGGTTTGACGGTGACACGCGGCCTCCTCCTTAGTCCACGTTACTTTGCATTACTGACAATGAATATGCCTGAATGTTGATGCGCTCATAAAGAAGAATCAGTGTTTGAGTGGCTCTGCCCACCGCCGCTGACCCTTATCCTCATTGGGAGGGAGGGAGGAGAGATGCTGGGGGGAGGCGGGCGAGGGGTGTGTGTGTGTGTGTGTGTGTGGAATATAAAGGAGTGTTCATTTTAATATTCTCCCTGCACGCGAGAAAACACGTTTGTTTTCTCTCTCAAATACAGTTTCAGTGTCACACACACATCCTGGATTATGAAGTGTTGGCGCTCTGAAACAGTCAATTACCTCGTGCTGGGGAGGGAACCTGCTGTTAATTACTGCTCAGTGTTTTATACGAAGAGTAAATAAAGAGACTGCTGACATTCACATTCCATCAATGTGTCCTCCGGCACACACTGGGTTGTGTGTGTGTGTGCGTGTGTGTGTGTGTCTTTCCTGATGTTAAAATAACCTCTTGGAGGTGGACACCACGGGAAATCAAACTTGTATCACAAGAATGTCTGTATCACCTGCTTCTATCAAATCCCGATGCATTGCAATGCAGTAATGGACATCACACTCACAGTAACCCCCCCGCACCCCTGCACCCCCCCCCCCCCCCCTCTCCTGCTGAAATACAGAGGCCTATACAGCCAGAGAGCTGTATAGGTTTGAATTCAAGTCTGATTTACGGCTCCATTTTATCCAAATCCTGTACACGAGAAGGGAGGAAAGCAATATATTTGCCAATCCTCCAGCTAAATGGGTCTCACCACTAAACATTGTTGAACATCCCGGGGTCACGGGGCCGTGCTTTGTCATATTATACCCCTTTGCCTCAAAAGCCATCACAGTAAATCTGGCCCCGGAACGTCGTATTAAACGGCGCAGTGGACGTCTTCCGAGACTGAGGCTGAGTGCTATCCTGGCACTCCGAGTGGACTCTGCAGGCTTCAAGTGAAGAAGTACAGCTGCTCCTTTGGCCCGGGACAAATACTTAAATGAGCAGATTATTATGGGGAGAGAGCGGACTCCGTTCTCTCGCTGTTTGTTTTCTCACATGTGTCATTCATAATGCATTTAAATTCAAAAGAAATGTCCTGTGACACTAAACATCTAGCTGTGAAAACACATTTTCCTGTTTCCTGTCTGCAAATTGTTCCCCTGCTCTTCTGGGCCACCATTGGTTTTCATTTATTGTGACCGACATTCGCAGCTCAACGTTCAAAGAATGCGATGCAATTCAATTCCTTTTATTTTGTATAGCCCAAAATCGCAAGTTGCAAATTTGCCTCAGAGGGCTTTACAGTCTGTACACATACAACATCCTCTTTCCCGAAACCCTCCATCGGCACAGGAAAAACTCCCCAAAAAATGAGAAAAGGGAAGAAACCTTGGGAAGAACGTCAGAGGAGGGATCCCACTCCCGGGATGGACGGACTACAATGGACGCCTTGTGTACAGAATTAACAATGCAAACGTTGTATGATACATTCAATGCACTGTAGTTTGTAGACATAACGCGTGTGTTGTCCATATCGTCGTGAACGAGGAAGTATAACATCTGCTGAGGAGCTAACCAGCTGGTTAGCCCGACCCCGTGTACCTGCATCCAGGCAGGAAGCCAGACCCTGCTTGATTTTCATTGGCTGCCCGGGCCTGGTGGCACAGTGACATCTGAGAAAATGTGAACTTTTATGAGCACGTCAGTAGAAACTAAAAGGAAAGGAAACCGTTGTTTCCTTCGTTTTCATCTCATTCTCATCTGTGGAACCCGGCGGTGCCGTTCGTCTTTCCGTCGTCTCTATCTCTGCACATTTTTACTGCGGGGAAACCTCGTGACGCTGATAAATAACAGGCTTCACCTTTCCTTAGCGGGGCTCAGCATGAGTGACTGCGCTCCGATGGTCTCTCCGAGAGTGTGTCCTCAGCTGTGAATCACTTGTGTCCAACACACACACACACACACACACACACACACACACAGTGCGTTAGTCTTTCACCCGCAAGGGGAGCGCAAAGCAGAGAAGATAATCCCCGAAACGTCGCCCCGCTGTCAAAGGTCGTGAGAGTTCAAAGGTCACCCTCCACATCATTTATAGGCTCTTAAATAAGCCCGGGCCTCACGCTCCTGCCAACTTTCCCCCTTTCACGCAGTTATCAGACTCGGAGAGTTATGAATCACTGGAGCTGAAACACAAGCGGGATACAAATGGAGCATTGTGGAAGAGGAGAAAATACAAGAGGGGGACAATACAGCAAAAGAACAAAACTGTGCATTAAATGGCGTCACGACTGTTGCATTTGACCATATCATCACCAGATTTTTATTGTTAGCATCTTTTCAGCAATGCTTCACCCCACCCCCGAGGACAGACGGGTTATTTTCACAACATTAGAAATGTAACAGCATTAGGCCATGATAATCCTTTATCATGTTAAGTTCACAGGAGCATCGTGTATACTGCAAACAAGAGACATAGTGAAAACAAAACAAGTATCATAAAAAGAAAAAAAGCAATAAAGAATCCACATAAACTGAAATATTAAACTGTAGCAGTCTGCTAACACCTACCAAGGGAGATTATTATGTTAATCCACAGACAGAATAACTATGATTTATTCAGATTGCACAGGTTGATGAATTGATAATCACCATGATTAATCATTTTCTCGTGTGGAGATAAAAACAACCGCTAATCCAAAAGACACCTTGAAAAACACTACGATGACACATAAATAAGGAGAAGGAAAGGAGGAATCCAAACAACGGACAAAAGTCCTGATTAATTGATAAACATGGAGCGCAGGTTTGACAAATGTAAAACTATTTAAACATCTGTTGGCAAACTCTTACATTGCAAGTCTCATTCCTGACCACTTCCCATACCTCACTAGAACCTGAGGGCTCCAAACACCTGCGTGGGGCTGTTGTCGCTTGCTGTGTCACTGCATGCGGCTGGATAACTGAGTAATAAGTTCTCTTATATTGCGCTCAGAGAGAAGTGCTCCGTGCTTCTCTCCGTCAAACAGAGTTGAATAAAAAGATCTGATCTGGCTCTTAAAAGTGCTGTAGGACCTGACGTGAATACAACAGGGGTCGGCGTTGTAAAAGTACCTTTGTGAACCCTTAAAAAATGCAGGACAAGCCGGAGAGAGGCGAAGAGAGGATGCGAGGAGAGATGTGATGTTGTGCGCCGTGGCTGTGACGGAATTGTCCTCCACGGAGGACCACCGGGGCGGCAAGAAACATACGTTTCTGATTTCCTGGGAAGGCTTTAACTTCTGATGGGTACACGGTCCTCCCACACACCAACACGGTCACTGGTGCCTGTGTATCTGCAGGAATGTGTGTATGTGTGTGTGTGTGTGTAGTTCCACACATACTCTTCTCCAGAAGATGAAGCCATTTCGTTATTGATGGTGTAGGGGCTTGAAGCCCCGGTCACACAGACTACAGGAGGTGTCTGTGTCCCCCCCTCCTCCACCCCGCCGCCCGGTATGATGGAGAACTCTTTTTCACTCCGGGCGACCCTATAAACCTGTCTTACCAATGATCGCTGTCTATTTCTATGCTTATCTTTGTTTTTATCTCGGCATGCCGGTTTAGCATTTGTGCGTAAAACCAGCGAGAACATCTCATGAGATCAGATTCACACACACATACACAATTGCACCCTAAATCACAGGCCCAGAACAACCTGCAAAACTTCATCATCCTACAAACGTATTTAGTTACCAGCCTCGAAATGTCAGAGATTGGAAGCCTCTCCTGTCCGTAACAACGCTGTTGTGTTCTTCGAGTGTTGATGTGGTTTCACCTCGTAGAGAACAGCTGCTATGTTTGACCTTGTTTTCTGAGATTTTGTTTCAAAAAGAAGAGACCTGTGAGGGTTGAAACAAATAACAGAGGGTGTC